CATGTCACTCCTTTTCACAATGGCGGAGTATTCTGTTAGGCTGTTGCTATACCACCTGATTTAATGGACAACTATTGATGGACAACTAGGTTGCCTTTTTGGGTCCTTATGTGCAGAATAAATTCCTAGCAGTACAGTTTTCCTTTTTATGCATGTAGCGTAGTTCACACTCTTACTCTGTTTTTACAAACCCTTAACAGGGCTGGTATTATCAGACTCTTTTGCCTATCAGATAGATGGAAAAAGTCTCCTTACTTTCATTTATATTTTTAGTGACGTTGAAAGATTATATGGCTTTTCATGTGTATCAGTCATTTCTTTTTCTTTTTCTTTCATCTACCTGTTATGTCCTTGGCCCATTTTTTTTTGTTAGGTTTTTTTAACCCTAATTTTATGAGCTTTTGGTAAATTAAGGAGATTAACTTTTTATCATGTGTTGTAAATATTTTTTCAGTGTATCTATTTGGCTTTGACCTTGCTATTTTCCCATAAGCAGTTTTATAAGTTTGAACTTCTCTTCTTTTGTGTTTAGCTGTTTGTGTGTGTGTGTGTGTGTGTGTGTATGATTTTAAGTATATGGCAGTTCCATCAATTGAGCATCAATCAGAATGAAGAAAACTATTTTCTGAAACTATGATATAAATGGAAATTACATTTACAATTTTTCAAGAATATTTTTATTCTCAAATTCAGAAAACTTGTATATGTATCTTATCAATGTATTGATCATTTAACTAAATATTCCCTTTCTGAGATAAATACCTATACGGGGTTTAGGAAAGTAATTTTGCAAAAACTAAAACAAAAACCCTGTTTAGGCTGTGAAGCATTTCTTGGATTCCTTGGCTGGGCCCCCCAAGCCTTAGCAGCTAAGAGTCAGTTCTACTGAATGTACTTTAGAGCAGCTTCTTTTAATAGTATCTTTTATAATTGCTTCTGCTGCTCCTTAATAGCTGTGCTTGGCTTCAGTGAAAATGGTTCCTCTCTCCTCCCTGGAGACCTGTAAATTTAAAAATCTGTGTATTTTGGGGGGATGGGTGGAGAAGGAGGATGGGAGAGAAGGGGTGGGAACTAGGTGGGTTTTTTTTTATTTTTATTTTTTATTTACTGCCTCTATTTGAGGTGGTCCAACCTGAATTAATTTGATAGCTTTGCAGTGATAAAGGATAAGAGAGGGTTTGGGGTTACTTAAATCAGTGTTTTAGAATGGCTTAATACCGCTTAGTAGATCTCAGGATTGCTCTATACTGTGGTGTTCTGATGTATGAGGACTGCTCCATATCTTGAAAACAGGAAAAATTAATAATGTCCTACGAGACCAGATTACAGGCAGTGCTTTAAAAATAAGTCAGTTTAGCTATCGGTTTGGGCACGTATTCTTTTTGTTTTCATTTTTTCTTCCTTTTCTAATTCCCTGGCGTTAGCATACATGCACAGAACGCTTATTATCCTAACGTTATAAATAAAAGGAATATCTCTCAAAACAGTTCAGCAGTGCTATGAAACAAAAAACTGCCAGAACTTCTGGAGGTCACTGGGCATAGCTTCTTTAGAGTTGGAAAAATGCCTTCTGCAGCAGGATGCTTAGCCACTAAATGTTTGGCATCAGAGCATTATCTTCAAGGTCATCAAATTCATCCTGTCTGTTCAGTCCTGGAATAACAGTCCACTAACCTGGCAGCTGATCGAAAACAATATTGATGAGGAACAAAGACTGTTAATGAGGATGACATTCATTGTTTCCAAGAAACCCATGAAGCAGGCGCTATGAGTATCATCTTTGTTTAACCAATTAGGAAACTGGGACACAGAGAAGTGAAGTAACTTGGCTAAAACTTTCCACCTAATACGGGTTAGGGGCAGGCTTTGAATCCAGGCTGCCTAGCTGAGGTCCTATGTTTTTTCTTTTTGTCTGTCTGTTTGTTTGGTTTTGTTTTGTTTTTTGAGATGGAGTCTTGCTCTGTCACCCAGGCTGGAGTACAGTGGCATCATCTTGGCTCACTGTAACCTCGGACTCCCTGGTTCAAGTGATTCTCCTGCCTCAGCTTCCCAAGTAGCTAGGATTACAGGCGCTCACCACCACACCCAGCTAATTTTTGTATTTTTAGTAGAAACAAGGTTTCGCCAGCCTGGGCAACAGAGCGAGACTCCGTCTCAAAAAAAAAAAAAAAGAAACGAGGTTTCGCCATGTTGGCCAGGCTGGTTTCGATCCCCTGACCTCAGGTGATCCGCCCACCTTGGCCTCCCAAAGTGCTGGGATTGCAAGCGTAAGCCACCATGCCCAGTCGAGGTTCTATGTTTTTAGGTTAGGTACTCTGTGCATGATTTTAATAACCCAAAAGAGCACTGAAAACAATACATTAGTTGCATACACTGTTTAAAGGAAATGAATAAAGAATGCCTCTCCTTCCTTGTATCTTTGTTGCCAGCTAATAGATAAATGGTGGTGCGGTGATTAGGTCTCCAGCTTTTCTCTTAGTTATTTTGCTTAGTATTGAAGGAAGTCTATCAGATGATGTATTACATTTAGCTTTCCTGTGTATCCTTTAAAAAGCGTTCACTGATTTTTACACTGCATTAACCAGTTTGTGTTTTTTAAATTCATAAACTGAAATAGTTGTGAAGTAGTATATTCATTTTTCACTATCGTGCTATTCAAATAGTCCTGAATACAGCTGCAGGGACCCGATTGTGCCTTCTAATCTCTTTCAGATGTACAGAAAGTAAGAGAGGAAAGTGCTGAAACAAAGTGACCTTAGGCCCTGCAAATACATAAAAGTCAATATATTGAGTTCCAGTAGCAATAAAACGTAGAACAAAGTTGTCCTTTTAGTTCACAGAACGTAATTACCACAGATCAGAAGCACCATGGGGTAACAATGGATTTTCCACAATTATCTGTTCCTGTTCTAGAATTTCTGTTTTTAGGCAAGCGGTTCAATTATAATTGATGGACTTTTGTGAAAGGAATGAAAGCTGAGTGTTTCAGAGGAATAATTGCACATTAGAAAATAATATCTTAAACCTGATGGCTGTAACCACAGGATCTATTTTTGAAAATTGCCTACCTTTATCATTGGATAACAAACGTGATAATTTACTAGCAAACAAAGCTGGCTGAGTTAGGCTGTCAGGAATCTCATGTTGCTGGACTCCATTACCAATCATGAATCCTTGAGATTGAACTACTACAGTTTAACCAGTGCATTCCTTAGAGTCAACTGATGAAGTTTGGGAAGCTTCTAGGAGCTCATTACATCATTAGACAAAGTCTGTGCAATCCAGAAGGAATAGCTGGTCTCAGTTCTGATACACTGCCATGCTAATCTTCCCAGAATTCTGCTGGGAGCCAGGAGTCACTGCTGTCATCTGGCTAATGGGTCATTCTCGGTCTCTTTCCTAGAGACCTGGACTTCCTGGAGGCTGGGGTTCCTGAGAGCTCCTGGAAACCAGGGAAAGGATGTTTTTTTTTTCTCTCTACCTTGTGATTACCTACCTTCCTCTCTAGCAAAACTAATAAAGCCCATCAGAGAGCGAAATCTGTTCCCCAGTAGGCCAAAGTCTGGCCACATCTTGTACCTGTGGTTCGTGTTGGCCTGTTAGGGAGATGGTAATGTATAGTTTCTCTAAGAACTTCTCCTGTTCCGCTGCTTCTTCCTACTGCCTTTCTGAGGATAAAGCATAGTATGGGAGAAGTAGTATGAAGATTTGGTCCTGGACAGAATTTATCACCTACAAGCTTCAGGCAAATCAGCTTCAGTTTTCTCAATAGTAAAACAGTGAGATTAATGTCTATTTTACAAAGATGTCAAGAATAAATAATATATAGCATAGAAAGCATTGCGAATAGGGCCTGAGACCTAGTAAACATTCAATAAATAGTCATTATTATGATAATTATTGTTCACTGCTTGTTAGAAAATCAAGGATTTAGGCTATTCATATTTTCTTCAGCCCAGAAATGTGAGCTGGCTCTGGGTTCTAGACCAGAAGAGGCACAAATTGTGTTGTAGGAGTTGAGCAACAAGGTCAGATTAAACTGTATACCTAGACTTATTTTTCAAAAGCACATGGTACTTTACGTTTTTAAAAAATTCTTTTTCTTCTTCTCATTGTTCTAGCTTGCCTCTTCCACATCCCTTCACTTCCCCAGGCAGTGTATGAGAATGTTTCCATTATCACTCTTTTAGAACTACATATTTTTGTTAGGATTAATTTATATAAATTATTTTACTGCACAGCATGTTTCTATTATAATTACACACCCAACTGTAGTCTGTACTCAAAGTATCATGTGATCTTTGCAAACTAATGAACATCCCTACCTGTAATCCCACTCTGAAGCTAAAATTCCAAGTTTCAGTGGAATTTACAGGTTCTATCACTGTTAAATTTCTGCTTTTCTGTTAAGGATCTATTCCTTAAAGAAAAACCAAAACTGCAGTCAGAGAAAGTCAGTTCTCAGATAGTGCCAGTGCAGGCAGTCTGGGAACCCAGGCTTTGCTCTTTCCTGACTGCCTCTCACTGGTTAACTGTCTCCAAACCTAACGTGCCAAATTGAAGTATGACTCGCTGACTACAGAAACCCAAAGAGAAACTCTCTTGGAAAAACTGCTCTTGGACTGATAAGTATTTACGTTTTCTTTTTCTTTTGCTTGAAGTAGGGTGAGCCCGTTGTTGTGGGGTGAGAGCCTCACACACGGGAGAACAGTGCATTTCTTGACTCGCTTGGGTCACTGTTGACAGTGTCTGCAGGAAGACCGGCCTCTATATGAAACCAGCCTTACTGTGCATCTTAGCTGTATTTATGAAATGATGTCCTTGTGCTGGGCCTTCTCTTGACTGCTTTGAGGAAAACTGTGAGCCTGGAAACTCTGGAATCTGGGCACTTGCCAATAGTGTGCAAATGCAGGGAGCAGGGACCTCGAAGGCAGGGAACTGGCCAGCGTGTTCTCCGGTTTCCTTTCCCTCACGCTTCTCTCTCCCCTGTTGTTTTTCAGGTAGTGAAGCTGATTTTAGCTCCTCGAGCAGCACAGGCAGCATTTCCGCTCCTGAGGTCCATATGTCGACTGCGGGGAGCAAGCGGTCTTCTTCTTCACGCAAGTAGGCACCGTCTCCTGCTCTGTAATTAATACGCTTTACACAGGTGACTCACCTGCACCTATGCGTCCGTAGAACTACCCGGATTACTGTTCGTTCATATTTTATTATTCAGTTAGGCTTTTTGGTTTTTTTTTTTTTTTACAGTGATTTTTAAATTGGTAGTTTTTCCTACCTTGCCTACTGTGGTCACATGGCTCACCTGTGTTTAGCCATCCATGGCTGTCTCCCATCCAACCCTTGACTCTATGCTCACTCCTCTTTCTGTCCCTTCTCTCTTTCCCTCACTCACCTGTGTACTCACCTGCATAGGAAGCTAGTGGTCTCCCATTTCCCTCCCAACCCCCTCTCTGTGAATCTATGAGTCTCTTAGCTGTGAAGCCTCTGACTTCACCCTTTTATTCCTCTAGCTGGGTTTCCATTTTTAACCTCTGTGAAGGAAGCAGCTACTCCCTGACCACTCCCAACATTTGCCTGGGGAAGGAGTGAAGAAAGTGTAGTAAAGTTCATAGGCATGGTGGCCACCCCATAGAGCACACTAGCTGGGTGTGTGGGCTCTGAAGCCAGGCTGCCTTGGCTCAAATGCCAGCACCAATTCCAGGCTGTGTGGCTCTGAGCAAGTTGTTTAACCGTTCCATGCCTCGTTTGCCTCATCTGTGAAATAGCCCTACCCACCTCAGAGCGTTTATTGTTAGGATTAAACAAGTTAATAAAAGTAAAATGCTGAGTCAGAGCATGGAGCATAGCAAACATCAACCGAAGCTCTCCATTGATATTATTTGAATTGGTGGAGAGGACTATGAAAACACGGGAGCCACTATTCACATTCAATGGGAGGGACTGCAAGCCCCAGGATTCTGTGCTTGCCACCAGTGGCTTTGTTTATTCGTTTAACAATTATTTATTGAGCATCTACTATGAGGAAACAAAACTCCACAAAATTATATTCATTGTAGTAGGACAAGAAGGACAATAAATTGAAAAATAATATAATTATTTTAAAAACACTCAGGGGAAGGAGATAATGTAGTTTGCGATATATTTTAGCTTGGCAGGTCCTAGGATACCTCAGTGATGAACTGAGCTCTGAGCAGAGACTTAAAGGAAGCTATGGAGGGAACCACGGAACATGAGGGGACCTGGCTTCTGACTTTGTCACGTCACTTGATTCTCCTGGGCCATGGTGTCCAAAAGACAGTTGGACTGTGTGATTTTTAAGGTTTCTTCCTGGAGAAAATCTATTTAGTTTCCAAAAGCCTACCTTTCCAGGACTCAACAAGCAAATATTTTCTATTTCTCTTGGGTGAGCCGAAGATTTAGCTGATGTTTATAAGGTGACCTGAGACCCCCCAGGGCACAGCTTTATCATTAAAAATACAGCTGAAGCCAGACAAACCTGTAATGAAAGAGTGAAGTCCACAGTAAAAAAGCACAATTGCTCTATCCCCAGCCCCACCCACCACCCCCATTTTGGCAATAAAGTGCCTCTGGGATTATAGGACATGAATGTAAACATTCTGTGTACATCAGATGTGGCTTGCTCTGAGAACAAGCCATTTATACAACCCGTTCAAGAAATTATGACATACACCTGGAACAAAGTATCAAACAATATAGAAAGGCTAAAAGAAAAAAGGAAGGCCTGTAGATAAAGCCAATTTAAATGTTTCAAAGGAATTTGTGTTTGTGGTTAAATTCCAAGGTTGTGTCAATAATACAGAGTGATTAAGAAAAAATATTCTAGTCTAGAATTCATGCTTTCTTTAAGTGATCAAAATTTGATATGTTGAACATAAAATAGCCAAATATAATTATATGCAAATCAGATGAATGCTTATATTAGTATCTGTTATAGCCAAGCAATAATAGACTTCAAAAGTTTAACAAAAATTAATAGATGGAAAATTGAAAAATGGCAGTGTTCTATCTATTATCCTCAGTTTTTAAAAATCTCGGCCAGGTGCAGTGGCTCGCACCTATAATCCCAGTGCTTTTAGGAGGCCGAGGCGGGTGGATCAATTGAGTTCAGGAGTTCAAGACCAGCCAGGCCAATATGGTGAAACCCTGTCTCTACTAAAAGTACCAAAAAAAAAAAAAAAAAAAAAAAAATTAGCCGGGCATGTAGGTTGGTGCCTGTTATCCCAGCTACTCGGAAGGTTGAGGCAGGAGAATTGCTTGAACCTGAGAGGCAGAGGTTGTAGTGAGCCAAGATAGCACCACTGCACTCTAGTCCTGGGCAACAGAACAAGCCTCTGTTTCAAATAAATAAATAAATAAAGTAAATAAATAAAAGAATCTCACCGAGGCACAGCGTACCATCGGTAGATTTTGGTCATGGACTATTTCAGGCATTTCACGTAAATTTTGTGTTCCGGAGGGCCATGTATGGGTGGGCAGCTCCTCAAGAGTAGCCTGCTATCCCTGCCAAACTCTAGTAGTTTGTGATCCTTTCAATTGGCTGCTTCCCCATGTAGAGAATGAATTTTCTCTGTGGAGAATTAGCTCCCTGAAGGAAGGCTAACAGGAAGATTGGTCAGTCGTTGGGAAATGAGAGGAACAGGTGGAGCTGGTGAGAATATTTTTGACAAGTTATTTTTAAAACAAAATTTTAAAGGCATACAGATGATCTTGTCTCATAGAAGGGCAACTCTGCTGATATTTCTAAAGAATTGCCTTTCTTAACTAAAACACGAATCTGTTTGGAAGATAAAAATGAGATAGAAAAAGAAAACCCTTGGGATTTGGAGTCAGACAGACCTGGGATTGAGGTTAACCTCCATTATTTATCAGGTGTATGACCCCAAGCCTCAGTTTCCTGTTTTGGGATATGGGATAATAATAGCATCTTACCTCGCTGCGTTAAATGAGATGATATATGTGAGTGCTTTACACGATGCCCAGAACTCAGTGAAAGTGTTGGTAAAAGGTGGTTTTTGTCAGTAGGGGTGAAAGTAATAGTAAGAGACGTGGTACTGTTGCTGTTGCTGCTGCTACTGGTGGTGGTGGTTATGGTGGTAATCATGGTGGTAGTGATTATATTAGTCTGCTAGGGCTGCATAACCCAGCACCATAGACTAGATGGCCTAAACAACAGAAATGTATTTACTCACAGTTCTGGAAATGGGAAGTCTGACACCAAGATGTCTGTTGGCTTCTTCTGAGGCTCCTCTCCTTGGCTTGTAGTGGCCATCTTCTCCCTGTGTCTCTACATCATCTTCCTTCTGTTTATGTCTGTTCAAATTCCTTCTTTGTATAAGGACACCGGTTAAACTGGATTAGGGTCCACTCTAACTGCCTCATTTTAACTCAGTCACTTTTTAAAAGCCCCGTTATTCTGTGGTACTGGGATTTAGGGCTTCAACATACCAATTTGCAGGGGGTGACACAGTTCAACCCTAGATCATGGTGATGATCGTGGTGATGATGATGGTGATAACAATGATATTACCTGAGCTCCAGAACCATGGTCAGGGAATCGAAATTCACCTGAGTCACTCGTGAGGTTTCTTCTACACTCCTCTGTCTCTGACCTTTTAGTTACATATTCAGGTTTGTAGAAGGGTTCAAGGTCAGCAGAATTTTCTCTCCTTTTTGTGGACTGTGTTTTTCTTGTCCACCAGACCAAAGGATCTGGGATGGGCTGAAGAGGACAGCATTGGGTTTGCCGGTTCATGGCCATGACAAACATGGAATCTCAGTGTCTCCTTTGAAAATGTTTCCTATCAACGCCTATAATGAGTTTGCACCTATATATGTTAGCATTTGAACTACTAAATGAAGAGAACTGATATTTTTAAGCATGTTGCTTCTTTTTAAAAAGTTAGCTCTTACAAGGTGTCTGATAATTTATTTCCTGATCAATATTCAGAAAGCACCCGAAACAGTGCTAGGGTCACAGAAGGTCCTCAGTGGCAGTTAACTCATAATAAAATTCCCCAGGTCAAAATATGGGACAGCTCTTTACATTCCCGCCTAACATGTAATAGCTAGTCGTCCATATTTCTCATAATCAGATTAAGAAATAGTCTGGTTGATGCCAGACTTAGAATTGAAGCATAGAAAAGAAAATGCACACCAGGGTACATGTTCCTTTCAGCTACTCATGAAGTTCTTTCTACCATGGGCTGCTGAAGTTGGTTTTGTCACAAAGCCATCAGCCCATCTGTTCCATATAAAGTGTCCTCACGAAGAGAAGAGCGGCATTCATTTGGATGATTTCAAAAGGAAAGAACTTTAACTTTAGAACTGGGTTACGTTTTATTTATGTATGGTTTGCAAGTTTGACAGCCAGTTGAAATTATATTTGATTGTAAATAAGTAATCATGGTTTCGAAGCCAAGTATACCCACACGCACCTTTGCATTCACATTTACACACATTTCTCATTAAGATGTCAGTTGGATACAGCTGTAATTAAAATTGCAAAGAAAGGATTGTCAGAAAGCAGTACTACTCTATGAAAGCTCTCTTGTTTTCTCTTTTTTTTTTTTTTTTGCCATCAAGTAATATTCCTGACATAGAATTTTTATCCTGTTTAAGTAATTTCAACATTCTCAAGATGCTTCCTTACACTAGTGGATGTCAAATCTCTATAACAGGATTAACGGTGAAGTTTGAACAAGTTTATCATCTAATAATACTCTACAGTTGAGTCACCCTTAATAGCTTGTGGAATGTACTCACATGCATTCTTTGATTTGATTTTTACATCAATTCTGTGAGGAAGGTAGGAAAGGGGTGTGTGTGTGTGTGTGTGTGTGTGTGTGTGTGTGTGTGTTTTGATCCCCATGTTAAGTGGCTTACTTGCCTAAGTTCCTACTAAGTGGCAGGGCCAATGACTCACACCTGGTTTATTTATTTAGCAGTCCTTTAGGGAACACTTACCATGTATCAAAAGTAGGAGGGTAGAAAGAACAGGCTGTTCCTGCCCTCAAGGATGCCCTAGGCTAGCAGGAAGGACAAATAAGTATGCAGTTGTGATGCCATGTGATAAGTCCAATGGTAGAAGTTTGCACAGAGTTTTAGAGAGCATTAAGGAGTGCCCCTACACTGGCCTAGGAAAGGAAGAGTATAGAGAAGGCTCTTTAGAGTAGGTTCCCATCAGTCTCAAAGTAGGAAATATCCTGGTATCCAGGGGCTTAGGGAAGGGAGAAAGAGAACATTCTAAGAGAGGAGATTATGAGTTCAAAAACCTAAGGATGGTCAAGCATGGATCCTTCAGGAAACTGTAAGTCATTTGGAATGCTGTAGTGCAGAGGGAGGAGGAGGATGGGGTTGGGTGGAGTGGTGGGATTAGACCTTGTAAACCATCTTAAGGAGGCTGGCCTTTGTTCTGGGGGCAGTGGGGAACCATGGCAAGGCTTTGAGGAGGACATTGAATCAGACTCCGTTTTGAAAGGCCACTCCAGCCACAAGCCAACCTTCTACTGGAGGGAGCAAAGCAAGAGGCAGGAGAACCAAGATGGGGCTGTTACAGTATTTCAGCAGTAAAATGACAAAGGTTGTCTTAAGTCATTGGGGCTAGAAAGAAATGAAAAAAAAAATTTAAGTGATCAAAATTACCGATGATGCATTTATGCGTGCTCTTTATCTGCCCTGTTTTCTCCTCCTCCTTTATGTGCTACCACCTTCCCCCATCCTCCAAATGAGCCACATTAATTTTCTTACCCTGACGTGAACCAAACGCAAATATTTCTAAACTGAAACAGGTGGACTAGAACAAAAACCACATCTTGAAAACAGCATCCAAAATAAACCTGAGCTAAATCAATATTCTACATTGTGTATGTTCTTAGCAGGCTATTGGGTGTAATCCAAAACAAGCTTTATGGCCAGAAACTATTTGAAAGAACAACAGAGGGAGAGGTTGCTTGTGTTGATGACACAAGGCGAGAAAATACCAGGCAGGTGGGAAGAAGGCCGCTCCGAAGAAAAGTCTACACAAATAATTGTATTGCCCCTTTCAACTCCATAAATTGGATTTCCTTAGATTTAGGGAGTAAGACATTAGCCCTTGGGCATCTGTAGCCCCAAGGATTTTAACATTTTTCATGCTTTTCCCAGTCGAGGTCCTCATGGGCGGAGTAATGGAGCTTCGTCACACAAGCCTGGCAGCAGCCCATCATCCCCGCGGGAAAAGGACCTTCTGTCCATGCTGTGCAGGAATCAGCTGAGCCCTGTCAATATCCATCCCAGTTATGCACCTTCTTCCCCAAGCAGTAGCAATTCAGGCTCCTACAAAGGAAGCGACTGTAGCCCCATCATGAGGTGAGTCCTGCTTAATTCATGCATCTTAGTTTGTCCTACTTGGTAAGATTTTCTTTTAAAAAGAAAATAAGGGTTATATAACTCTTGATCCCTTGCCTGATTCTACAACAAGACACTGCACTTTTCTTTCCGACATTCGGCTGATTCTTCAAGGGCTGGTGCAGAAAGAGCACAAGCCACAATTTCTAACAAGGCGCAGCAATCTAAGCAGTTCCTGGATAGGGAGAGAAAATACCACAGAGGCAGCAGGAGGCTGAGGCAGAAGAATTGCTTGAACCTGGGAGGCAGAGGTTCCAGTGAACCAAGATCACGCCACTGAACTGCAGCCTGGGCAACAGAGCAAGACTCCATCTCAAACAAACAAACAAAGAAAAACAACTTAAGATGATTCTGTAGGCACCTGTTGCTACAGGGGTGTGTGAAAGGTGGGGAGGGGTCTAACTCAGTCTGGAGCGATCCAGGGAGGCCTCCCTGAGAAAGTGAAGTGGAATTGAGGTCTGAAGAGCAAGCAAGAAGTTAATTCATATGAGGTTGTAGGGAGTGTGGAGCAGAAAGAAGGAACTGCATTTCCAAAGAGGCCATGACAGGAGGACTGGACGGTGGGCATGGACACAGGTCATCTTGGAGGCAGGCAGGTGCTCAGGGAGTTGGCAGCACGGTGGCTGGGACTGGGTCCAGAGTCAGGGAAGGAGCTGGCCGCCTTCCTCCTTCAGCCTTCTTCCTGCTGGGCATCCCTATTCTCGTCAGTCAGCTCTCTTACAGCAGAGATGCCCAGCTCCCAGCCAGGCCTGAGAGGGGCCAAGATTCCAGCAAGGGCTGTTTTGTAAAACATTGAGCCTCTCTTACAAAACACATTGGGGAGAGTTAAGTAGAGGAAGAAACTTCTCCCCTTCAGAAGAAGCACCTTTCCATTTCCTCCAAACTGGCATACTCACAGCAGGGATTGATTTTAGAACAACTTGCATTCAGCAAATAGCCATCAGGATCTTTAGGCAGTGGCACACTGTGCGGAAAGTTAGGTCATCTTGCTTGCTTCCTTCTCTTCTGCCCAGGCCCATCCCCTGACCCTCGCCCATTGTGCTGCTTCTTACTCTGAACTGACAGCTCAGGCATCTGGACAATGGTGCATTATTTTGTATGAGAACATTCCTAAGCCATAGAAAATTCTCCTCCTCCACTGTCCCTATTCTCTCCATAAGTACAGCAATACCGCCTTCAATATTCAAAGTAATTAACAGTCTTAAGATCTGCAGTTCTATTACAGCTCACTTTCTGAAGTGACGTCAGCCATTATTGAGGCTTAAGACCCCAGCACATAGCTGCCATTCCTTCTCAAGCTGTTAGCTGTGTCTGGGTCAATGTGGGTGGCTATAACAAAGTACCCTAGACATTGGTCCATATCTTTTGAGAACCATGGGCTACATACTCTAGGGTTAGGTCTGAGATCAGGGTGCCAACAAGGTATGGTTCTGGGGAGGGCTGTCTTCTGGGCTGCAGACTGCTCACCTCTTAGTGTAACCTCACAGGGTGTAAAAAGAAAGCTAGAAAGCTCTCTGGGGTTCCTTTTATAAGAGCACTAATCCCATTTATGAAGGCTCCACCCTTATGAGCTAATTCCCAAAGTCCTCACCACCTAATACCATCATATTGGGGCAAGAATTTCAACATATGAATTCTGGAGGGACACAAACATTCAGCTGATAACACTCTGTGTTACTCTTCTTTTTATAGAAAAGGAAATGGCAGAAAGTAACATTTCATTACTTGGATTGTTTCAGGCGTTCCGGAAGGTACATGTCTTGCGGTGAAAATCATGGTGTCAGACCCCCAAACCCAGAGCAGTATTTGACTCCTCTGCAGCAGAAAGAGGTTACAGTGAGACACCTCAAAACCAAGCTGAAGGAATCTGAGCGCCGACTCCATGAAAGGTGAATCTGCCTTCCTTGCACAGTGGGGTGTAGGACAGTTTCTTTCTCCATAAAATGAAACATGAACCCAAACTATAGAAAGATAGAAAAGAAAAAATGATTGTATTCAATTTTTGTCAAATTTTTAAATCAGCCTCTGAAAAGAGTCATTTCATAATTCTGTGTGATTTGGCTGTTTCAGGAGTTCAGGGAGACCTGTCGGTTAGAGGGGATCCTTTTTGTTGTTGTTGTTTTGCAGTGTATACAGCTTTGATGTGAAATAATCGGGTGTGTGCATGACTATTTTTAAATGGCAAAAACACGTGAGCAAACAATCCCATACTTCCAGCAGAATGGGTCACACACCGTGGACCAATTAAGCCCTGTTTATATCCGTGCACGAATGGATATCTGTGTGCATTGTAATTCCTGCATGCTATTTTTGTGCTGAAGGAAGGGGCTCATTGTTCTTGGCCAAGTGTTAAGGTTGTTAAAAAAAAAAAAAAAAAAAAAAAAAAGCCCATGCTTAAGAGAGCTTATCTGAGGGAGAAGACTTGACATCTGGGCAGCAGGCCAGTTTTTCTGCTTGATGGTTTTCCCCTGGAACATTTTGGAACAGACCAGGAAAGCTCTGACCAGGGTAGCTGTGAACTCAGGGTGAGGGTGGCATTTGCATTCTCTAAGAGTCTGGGCTACCTGATCAGCCCAAACCTGCTCTGCTGCTGCCACAAAGAAATTGAGAAAACTCAATGACCTTGGTTGCTAAAACTGTGGGTAGATAAGGGCGCAGACTGTGAGGAAAGGACATTTTTCATCTTCCGAATTAATCTGGTTCATCATCTGTCTGAAATAGACTTGAGACCCAAACTCTCCTCTGGGGTGAGTTAGACCTTAAGTCTGGAAGTGTTTGGTCTGTGATTTGCCTAGTCCGTAGGAGGATTGGAGCACTCAAGGGAGGAAGGAATGGGAATACAGTAAAACTTGGGAAAATATTCTAGCCTAAACTTAAATGAACAATATTGATGTCTCTTCATATATATGAGGATCCTGACTACCCTATCTTCATATCAACTCATATCCACTGAGAATGTAAGGACTGACTATGAAAAAATTATATGTAAGAAAGAATTTATATGCAAAGATCTTGAAGTAGGGTTGTCCGGTGAAGGATCTAAAAAATAGGATCGCTTCTCCTTAGTGTAGGATGAATTCAATATTATCCCATCTGAGAGGAGATAGAATAAGCAGCTTGTCAACATGTAAAGTCCCTGCCACGTGTAGCATTTTATGATTTCAAAAATGTTTATCATTGGAATATCATCCGAACAATTTAGCAAGGCTAAAACTTATCAGTCTACCTTCTGTCTTTGATAGGTAATTAAAAGTGAACTGGCCTTTTCTTCCACAAACTATAGACATTTGGAAAGAGTAGGCTATGGAGATAGAAACAGGCTAACAGATGCTAAGATGTTCTAATAATAACATTTCAAATATTAAGGATTGAGTAGATGATAAGACTTGTAACAGTGCAATATCTGACTCATAATGGGTACTCAAAAAATTGTGGTAGCTATTTTGATTCTGATTCTGATTACTATTATTACTTTAGCCATTTTACAATTAAAGAGAAAGTTCATGGCTAATCTCTGCCAAAGAGAAAATGTACTGTTTCTTTAAGTTTAGGCTGGAGTGTTTTCTCAAGTTTTCTGTGTTCTCTTGAGTTCCCTGCATTCAAAACTGATTTCACATCTGTATTTCAAGTGGAAGAGTATGAGTTCTTGGCTCTGTGCCAGAAGTGCCTGTTGCCCAGTTCAAAGTTATTTGATTTTATTTTTTTTATTAACCATGCTTGTCTTGGCACTCTAGGGAAAGTGAAATCGTGGAGCTTAAGTCCCAGCTGGCCCGCATGCGAGAGGACTGGATTGAGGAGGAGTGCCACCGGGTAGAGGCCCAGTTGGCACTCAAAGAAGCCAGGAAAGAGATTAAACAGCTCAAACAGGTCATCGAAACCATGCGGAGCAGCTTGGCTGATAAAGATAAAGGCATTCAGAAATATTTTGTGGACATAAACATCCAAAACAAGAAGTTGGAGTCTCTCCTTCAGAGCATGGAGATGGCACACAGTGGCTCTCTGAGGGACGAACTGTGCCTAGATTTTCCATGTGATTCCCCAGAGAAGAGTTTAACCCTCAACCCCCCTCTTGACACAATGGCAGATGGGTTATCTCTGGAAGAGCAGGTTGCTGGGGAAGGGGTTGACAGGGAGCTACTGGTGGGAGATAGCATAGCCGATGGCACAGATTTGTTTGATGAGATGGTAACAGCCACCACCACAGAATCTGGTGACCTGGAGCTTGTGCATTCCACCCCTGGGGCTAATGTCCTGGAGCTGCTGCCCATGGTCATGGGTCTGGAGGAGGGCAGTGTGGTGGTGGAGCGAGCCGTACAGACCGACGTGGTGCCCTACAGCCCCGCCATCTCGGAGCTCATTCAGAATGTGCTGCAGAAGCTCCAGGATCCCTGTCCCTCGAGCTTGGCGTCCCCTGATGAGTCTGAACCAGACTCGATGGAGAGCTTCCCAGAGTCCCTCTCTGCCTTAGTGGTTGATTTAACTCCAAGAAATCCAAACTCAGCCATCCTTTTGTCTCCCGTGGAGACCCCGTCCGCCAATGTGGATGCAGAAGTCCATGCAAACCGCCTCATGAGAGAGCTGGATTTTGCAGCCTGCGTGGAAGAGAGGTTGGATGGTGTCATCCCACTGGCTCGCGGGGGCGTCGTGAGGCAGTACTGGAGCAGCAGCTTCCTGGTGGATCTCCTGGCTGTGGCTGCCCCCGTGGTCCCCACGGTTCTGTGGGCATTCAGTACTCAGAGGGGGGGAACGGATCCTGTCTATAACATCGGGGCCTTCCTCAGGGGCTGTTGCGTGGTTGCCCTGCATTCGCTCCGCCGCACCGCCTTCCATATCAAAACCTAAATAGAAGTTGTTGTTACTGTGTGCCAATGTGTCCCATGTGGGTTGTGCCAGGTAGAGAAACAGGAGGTCGATCTGTGACGGTTTCTATTCTGTCGTTTTGCTCCTCGGTATTTGATTTGCACTATATTTAGTTGAAGCCTGTTCACTGTTTAAAACCGGAGGTATCTTCAAAGGCATGGAGACCTGGTTCTAGTAAATGTCCCACCAGTGCGGTATAGAAAGCATGCTCATGACCCTGCCGTGTCGTCTGAGGTACCCGTTCTTATCCTAGTGGTTCAGGAAGAGAAAATGCAGTTTGCACTTTCAAGACAGCTTCTCTAAGGCTGGCATGTTATCTCCTTGCTTTGCTTTGTGCCGTTTTAAAATGTGTAATCGTTCCAGCATTCCAATGGTCTTGTGCATAGCAGGGGACTGTAACCAAAAATAAACATGTATTTGTGTAATTGGTTTGAAGAAGTCTTGAATAGCTCTTTAGTGTCTTACTTGGGGTTGATAAGATTTGAGTGTCCGCAATTTTTTACTAAATGTAGCTACAAAGTCTTAAATGGCTTGTTTGTTCTTAAACTGTTAATTGATGAAACTGTGCATAAGTTTACAATGTACTAACTTATTTTGCTCATTATATATAGTGTTTTGTTGGAAATTGTAACCACACACTTCAGCATGATGAAAATAAAGATTAGTGTTTCCATTTAAATAAATGTTTTATCCTCCTATAAAATAATTATCTCTGTGATTTTACTTCTATGTATAAGACAGACAATGAATAGCAGATCTAACATCTTTATCAATAGGGGTCTGTAAAAATTGAATTAAATTAGAAAGAGGGAAAAAGAGTTATTAAATAAAGGTGAAGATTTCCTACCCTTACTTAAAAAGCATCATTTCTGAGTACAAGTAGCTTTGTTTACTTTTAAATTGCCCATACGCTAGTTTGTCTACATGTTTATGCAGTAAGTACATCTTGAGTGTTTTCATGAACGTTGGGTTGATTTAAGTATGCTAGGTGTTCAGGAGAGGGAGAATATGGTAGTGACATACAGCTTCCTTCCCCAGAATGATAGGATGAGGGTGGGTGGCTGGGAAGGGATGAGAAGGTATTGGATCTATGTTCATCTAGTGCTTACACCAAAATTTTGAGATTAGTATTTTATACACATAAGAGAGCTAAGCCTCAAAGAGGAAAAATATTCAGGATCTCAGAACTCATCTCTCCAGAAGCCATGATTTCAAGTGTCTGCAAAAGCAAATGCCTTTTCTAATTTGCCACACAAAGGGAAGAGGCTGGAAAATACCCTAAGTCCTCATCCAGAAACTCTTCTTCCATAGCACTTACCACCTTTAAACATACCACCCTTTTACTTACAATGTCTTGGTTATTACCCATCTTTCCCACTAAGATATTAGCTCCATGAGGGAAAGGATCTGTGTTCTGTTTTGTTCACAGGTGTATGTCAAGAACCTAGAACAAATGAAATAATAAGACTTAGAATTTGATAGCACAACAGGGAACCTATAATCAGTAATAATTTAATTGCATATATTAAAATAATTAAAAGAGTATAATTGGATTGTTTTTAACACAAAGGATGCTTGAGGGGATGGATACCCCATCTTTCATGAACTGACTATTACATGCACATTACCTGTCTGTACCAAAATCTCATGAGCCCTATATAGACACCTACTGGGGATGCCCAAAATATTTTAAAAATATTTTAATTTTCTAAAAACAAAATTTAAAAATTTAAAAATAACTTGATACAGTACCTGGTACACAGTGGAAAGTCTAAAAATTGCTGTTGAATGAATTAATTAATCCAGCAAATACCAGGTACTCCGATGCTAACTGGGCACTTTCCAGGATGGGTCTTAAATAGTGAAGGAGACAGAAAAGGTTTCTGTCCTCAGGAAGCTTACATTCTGTGTCTGTGAGGGACACAACATGCCATCAAATAAACAAAAAATGGTTTCAGATAGTGGTAAATGCCTCAAAGGAAATAAGGTGTTTTGACCAAGTGTGGCAGAGGTGAAAATAAGTGACACATCTCTGAAGAAATAACGTTGGTGGGAATGGATGAAAAAGAGTCAATCATGAGAAAATATGGGACAAAATCTTGTTGCAAGAGCAACAAATTCAAAGGCCATCAGATAGAACGGGCTCACCATGTGACAGGAGCATCCTGGAGGTCAGTGTGGCTGGAGCAGAGTGAGAAGGAAGGAGAAAGTTGGAGTAGACAGGAAGCTGCTTCATATGGGGTCACATAAACCATGGTAGAGGTTTCAGTTTATTCAGGGAAACAATTTAGGGGTCTATTGTAATGTCCAGATGAGAGATGATGCCAATTTCGAGGTGGAAGTAGATACAGAGATTAAGTTGAATAATTACAGATATAGCTTGAAGATAGAACTAATGTGATTTGCTGATGGATTAAATGTGGAGTAAGGAAAAGAAAAAAAATAGGGGTGACTCAGGTTTTTGGCTCGAGCAATTGGATCAGTGGTGGCCGCATTTGCTCAGAATGGGAAGAGTTCAAGAGAAACAAGTTTGGGAAAATAAAACTGAGATGTCTATTAAAATATCTATGTGGAGGCATCAAGAGTAACTGTATATATAAACGTGAAAATCAAGGGAGCTGTCAGGAGTAGAGTTGTAACACTGAACCTTTCTGGCATTTGTGTGGTAATTAAAACCATGGGAACAAATGAGGTCATCCAGGAAGAGTGTAGAGAAGGAAAAAAGGTCAAAAATGGATTTTTGAGGTACTTCCACATTTAGGTAGAGGTGGAGGATGAAGAACCAACAAAACAGCCAAAGAAATAACAGCCCAAAATGTAAGAGCAAAACTAGGTGACTAGTAGTATAAAAACCAAGAGAAGAGAGTAATTCAAGAAGAATGGAGCAGCCAATTGTGTTGAAGTCCCACCAAGAGACTGAGTAGTAATATGAGAATAGTTACATAGTCACTGGCTTTGACAGCAAGGTCTTAGTGATTGTGTCAAGATCAGTCCTTGGACCGGGCGCGGTGGCTCAAGCCTGTAATCCCAGCACTTTGGGAGGCCGAGACGGGCGGATCACGAGGTCAGGAGATCGAGACCATCCTGGCTAACACAGTGAAACCCCGTCTCTACTAAAAACACAAAAAACTAGCCGGGCGAGGTGGCGGGCGCCTGTAGTCCCCGCTACTCGGGAGGCTGAGGCAGGAGAATGGCGTAAACCCGGGAGGCGGAGCTTGCAGTGAGCTGAGATCCGGCCACTGCACTCCAGCCCGGGCGACAGAGCAAGACTCCGTCTCAAAAAAAAAAAAAAAAAAAAATCAGTCCTTGGAGAAATGGGGATGGAAGGCCAATTGGAGCAGGTTGAAGAGTGAATGGAAGAGAGAAAGTGGAAAGAAATATGTGCTGCTGACTTTTTTTAAGTTTTACAATGAAGGAGAATAGGAAATTGAGTGGTAGTTAAAAGGAGATATAAGGTCAAAAGTTAATTTTTCAATATTGAGAAGAGACAGAACATGTTTGTATGCTTTTGTGATTGGGTCAATGAAGAGAAACAAATTAATGACATAGGAGGGAATAAAATAATAAAAAATTATAAATTAATTGAGGAAGGAGAGCCCTTGAAAAGAAGGGATAGGATCCAGGGCATGGGAATATGTGCGTGAGGAGAGATGGTTTGTCTCTGATAGGACATTTCTACTGGAATACACACGTGTCTCAAGCACAAACATTTGTATTTACATATCTTGCAGCTCTCGTCAGCAGTAGAAGGATTTGTTTGAAATGGAAGGGAAACTATTTCTGGAGGTGAATAATCGGAAGTGTCCCAAAATAATGAGCCATGCTGACTCAGGTCCCTTCCTGTAGTCCTGCCCAGATCAATACTTAGATACTGGTATCTTCCTTAAAGTCCCTCCTTGTGCTTATTTTAAGTCATTGCTAAGAGCATTTTTACTTAAAAAAATTATAAGCCTGTTTTGAGTATCTGCTTGTTTCCATATAAACAAATATAACTACACAAACTCAGCATTGTTCTTCATCAATTCAAGTTGGAGGGAAAGGATAGGCTCTGGTTAGAAAGAATTATCCACAAACCACAAATATTTATTAATTGTCAGATTGGATGCAGCTGATCACCAATAGCAAACAGTTTTATCGTCTTAATGTCCTATATCCTCCTTTACGTAAATCAAAAGATTCAAACAACCCACTGGAGACACTGGACACCCCCTCACCTTCCCTCTCCTCCTTCTTCAGGGTTTCAGCTGTATAGTCTGTGGAAAATTACTGCTTTTATTCAGAACAGTCTCTCACAAATGAGTCCCTTGGAGTAACTAAAAGATGGAACATGTTTGCCTTTTGGAAGCCCAAGGCATTGGCTGGTTTTGTGGATAGGATGATCTGATTCCATAGAAAGAAGTGCCTCGAAGTTGCTTTCAGTAATTAGAGTGCCTGTGATGTACAAACAGGCAGGAAAATGGAAAAAACAAGAACAATCCCACTCTATTGAACAAATTGCTGTCCCATGAAAGCCAATGTTAAACATTTCCTACAGTTACGTGTGCAAACATTCCAATTTATAAGAAAAGATTTTTCCCAAAGGGATATGTTGACCTTTCCAAGTTGAGCTGTTCAGAAAAGAGGGAAAAAAATGCAATGCACTCAGATGCCAAGCGTTTCTGACATTTGTGGCAGAAGAAAAAGGAAGTCTGTGATTTGCATTTATCATTTGCCCTGCCTAAGTAGTGGTTGGGTCTGATATGTCTTCCTCTTGAGGGTTTTTCATTTTGAAAGATTTGGGGTAGTTTCCCATTTCCATTTTGGGTCAGTGAGCACTTGAAAAAATTTTATTTCCTTCCAATCTTGCCAGCAAAATGTGCACAATGAAGCAGTAGCCTAGGAAATTAATAGTTTATAACAAATCTTGAAAGAATGTCATCAGACTCTCAATTGTCCTGAACAAAAACAATCAGAAAGTCCAAATAGAATAAAACAGGCTTGTATCAGGTAATTATTTTAAACCCACTGGATGTACTGCTGTGCACTGATTTTCCCACAATCATAATGATTGTTATAATGGTTACAATAACTTCAAAGAATTTTAAAATTTAAAAAAGGTTTAAGTGCTACTTAGAAGAGCTTTTGTTAGAAGATTGAAATATTTTTAGTAGCATTCAAGTTTGTTAAAAGATGTACAACTTTAACGCGTATTTTAGACATTTAAAAACTCCAATATATAAAACACATACAAATGAGCATACAGGCTGGAAGCCCTGCCACTGACCTCCCCCTACCCCCTGCGCGGGTCCTGGTATTACTTCTGAGAATGACTTGCATGTCATTTCCCTATATACCAGGTTCTTTGAAAACTTTCAGTTCATGTAAGACCTCATATATGAAAACTGTTAATTGAAATACTGCTCTGGTTAATGCTGAAGATGTTTCTCTATTGCCCTAAATAAGGAATGCTTAACAGAATTGTTTTCTAAACCTTTGTTACAAAATTTGTCTGCCAGTGCTCTATTGGTTTAACTATGAAGAGGACCTCATTCTCTCTCCCTCAGATTATAGAAGCCATGTAAGTATCTGGGATTATCATGATACATATAAGATGACGATGCATTATAAAATCAAGTCTGACTCACCTTGTGAATATTAAAAGTAGGTATCATGGCTTCTCTAATTTGATGGTGCAGTTAAGAACCTCCTTCCCCTTCCTCACCATTAAATAGCTCACAGTGTTTGAAATGGTTTGCCAGCCTCACTTTCTACAGTAAACAATAGGTGCTGGCATTTTAAACTGACCTTTAATTTTTCTGAACCAGCACATTATTTCTAGCTTGTTGGTTGTATACAGAAAATGAAAAATGAAAGCAGACAATAATTTTTACATCTCCCACTGGAAGTTGTACATGGACAAGTTTTAAAAATGATTGCCTATGCACTGTCTCACTCTATAAGGGCTCCTTCTAATCAAGACAGATTAGGTAATTACAAGGTTCAGATGCACTGCAGAACCTCACAAAGCAATAAAAGCACTTCTATTTTCACATTTTAAACTTCAATGTGACAAGTTAAATATATCTGTATTCTTATGCACATCTTCACTTAGCACTGCAATAAAATGCTGAGTTAATTTCAGAGGCCACTATATCTGATGATGGTGTTTTCTCCATAAAATAGATAAGCACTGCGTTTATTCAGGAATAGTCAACAGGTTTGGAAATGGCATTGCTGTATAAGAATTCAAATTAAGGTCTGAATATTTTAACAAATAAAACTAATTATGGGCAGTAGTTAATATCTTATAAAGAGCCAAAATTGCTCCAAGAATTAAGTCAACATACTGATCAGAGTATGTCCTTTGAATTTTCTACACAAGGAGATGTTCTCTTCTGTGCCATTCATTCTCTCAACCAAAACCTAAAGACACTCATTAATAACTGACAAGGTCAGGGACAGTTTGTAGCAGGAAGGCCTCTAGGTACAATACTGGTCTGCACATGCATAGAACCTGTGGTCTTGACCTCATTATAATTATGACCCCATCAAGTGAGCTAATTGGCTTATTTCTGCAGGTGTGTGAATATAAACCACATTTCATTTTGCCTTATCTGACCCAAATGAACTGCAAATACGTAATTATACGGCACTGATATTCAACTACAGTTGTCATTTATATGAAAATAAAAACCAAGCTAATTTTCTTCATATTTATTAAATTACTAGAAAACACAAATTGGTATTATCTTCTATAATTTGTAATGCTATCTTCATTAAGAACTAGGAGAAACTTTAAAAGGCTTTTTGGCAGCTCATAGTTCCATCAAGAGAGGCCTTAGAAATCACAGTCCACCTAGACTATTGATTAACCACTATTATAACCTCCTCTCAAAGGCTGCTATTTTCCATCCCATTAATCAAGTACACAATTTATTTTCTAAGCCTTGGTTTCCTTATATGTGAAATAAGGGTAATATCTCTCTTACAAGATTGCTAAGTCATTGATATAATTAGTCAAAGACTCAGACTTACAATAAATGTTCTCTGTCTTGCTAAATTTCAAGTTCAATTTAAAGATGTGTATAAAATACTGCAAAATTAGGCAACTTCTCCCACTCTTTGCAGGGAAGGCGTTGCCAATACCACTGAATGGTGAGATGTGGGAAGTATACAGGGCCTCATACCAACTTCCAACTATTGAGTGCTTATACTGAACACTTACGTACAGTCTCAATCCTTACAACCACTATTTCCATTTAAAAGACTTGTAAACTCCGGCAATTTGTTTAATGCTGTACTAGCTCTACAGAAGCTCTAAGAACTCTGGGAACCTCTCAGAGCTGGTGTGATCTGATCAATGTACATAAGGAAAGCATCTACCGAAAGACTCCCTGAAAGGAAGTCCCCTGAAAGGGAAGGCTGGGATAATCTTGGACTGGCTGCAGACTTTCAGTGAGCTTCTCTGCAAAAGTTTCCACTGGTGAACAAGCAGTGTCAGCAGGGGGTATGAAAGGATAGAAACAAATGTGTTGTATGAGGGTAAAAGACGGTCAAGGAGGTCCCTAGAATAGAGTGTTTCTTCAAGCTATAGAAGATCGAAGGTGTCTGGTGAAAAAGCATTTTACTAGCTCTCAAAACTTACTCTGGTTATTGAGTATGCCCAATGGTCATAACCAAGAGGGATGGAAGATAAAAAGTAGAAGGCAATGTAAAAAAATCAAAATACAGTTGAGTACAAAAGGAGTGCCTAGCTGTTGCTATAAGCTTGGGATAGTTTTGGTTGCATTAAAGTGAAAGGAATTACACAAAGAAAAGTAAGTCTCTTCATATTGTATTAGGACAGATCAGTTCAAATTTAAAAAAAACTATGTAAATGACAAAAACAAGTGTATTAGCTACTAAATATGCTCTTCATGAACCTACTATCTTCTTCAGCCCTCCAGTTCACTGAGAGGGTATAAGCTCCTTCCCTGGAACAATCTGTAGGCTCTAGTCCACTCCCAACCTCCCAGCATGGATCTATTCAGAACCCTAACTGTCATGTTTGCTTACACACCTAAAGATTTCCTTTGAGCAAGGGGCTTAAGGAGTATGAAAATCATTGTTGATTATTCCAAATCTGAACTTCATAGGATCAAACAAGTTGAGTATGTTAGCTCTGACTGGCTCAAACCATCCTTTAGGAAACATACCATTCTCAACAAAATTCAAGCTTTTTGGAACACTGACTATGGTTAGGTTTACACCATGGTGGTAGCTTGTAGTGTTGGAAGCTCGATCCAGATGCTGGTTTCTCTAGGTACCTTCTGCCCAGTCACCAATCTTCATCAAGAAACAACCTAGAAATAATCACCCAGAGGCGAGTGCATGTCAAAACTGAGAAATTTGGATGCAGAATTTAAAATTTTCAGTTCTAAAATATCAACTCAATTAAACATGCTACAGGAAATGGCTAGAAACTATGAAATTACATTAAAAAAAAAAAAAACACAAGGTAAGTTTCACATGTCTTTGATTACTTATCTCAGTACATGAAATGCACAATTTTGGTAATGGTTAAAATGTCACTAATTCTATCTAAGCCTACCAGTATTTCTTATTACTTCTAATAAGCATCTAAAACTGACAATTCTTTATTGAAATCAATAAAACAAAAAATAGAAACCGTAAATTTAGTAGCTAAAGGAGACAGTATGCTACCATGAATTGTTTATCATATGCATTTAACTCAGTGACTACTTTTGGGACCAAAATATACCCAAGTTAATACAGGAATTTAGTTTACATATCAATAGAGATAAAATAAATTCCAGAATTGTTATCTATTCTTTCAACAAGTAAAATCTATTTCTTCCTAATTAATCATACTAACTATAATTTCTAACATCTTTATTTTTAAATAACCAAAAACCAAAAAGCCAAAAAGCAACAACAACAAAAACCTCAAACATATGAAAATCATGACCAAAGCAAACTTAAATACTTTCCAGCTACTGGGGAAAAGCAATACAAGTAATTGAGCTAAAGGAAGTTATCCTTTATGAACTCCAAATTTAGACAAGCCATGTTGTATTCCCATAACTAAATATAAATACAAAGAAGGAAGAGAATACATTATTAAAACTTTGAGCCCAATTCTATTTAAGTTGGGAGTTTATTAGCAGAAATTCTAATGAATATAACTGGAAATATAATTTGGGGCTATAACAAACTCTGTATCAAAGTTAAATTTCATCTTATTCTATAATCACATTTAGTCTGGAATCTTAGGCTAAGGGCTTAAAGGGTTCTCATTGTATAACGTATGATTTTTCTATAAAATATCGCTTTAAGTAAAATAAATTAGCAAGGTTTGGCCTGTAGAGTATCTATGACATTTTAAAATCTCACAGAGTGTTGATTCTAGGCAGTAACTTAGTAAAAAACTTCAAAAATTCTAAAATGATAGGAAAATCGAGCTGGATACATTTCAGTTGTGATGAAAAGGTTAATGGGATTTTAAACTATCAAGTCTACTTTTCCCCTATAAACACAGTATTTAACTATTTCCTTAAGACTATTTTGGAGCCAATCAACAGCATAAATAAAAGATTATTATTCCTACCTTTATGATTTAATGAATCAATAATGTTATCCTAGCCAATAACACAGGTAACCTACATAATATCGGACATCTAAAGCTAATACAGAAATCATCTACAAGTTTTGAAATATTTGACCTGATGGCTTTATGCATTTGTAAATTAATGGCTTTTGGGATAGAGGAAGAACTAAGGCACTCAAAGATACCACAACATCTTAAAATCTATAGTGAAAGGAAAAAACTACTAATACTAGTTCTTAAAACTCACAAGTTATAATGTAAAACAAATGTCATTTTAGTTGATTTTCAATGTTTATACATGCAGTATAAATTACATGTATGACATTAAAACACCAATCCAAAAGAAAACAATGATGTACAAAATGTTTATGATAAATAAAGTTATTGCATTTAATGTCATTTTCATGAAATGAAAATCATCAAATTCCTTAATGTTGTATCAAACGTAAACAATACCGTTTCAAATTAGAGAGAATGTATGTCAACACCAACTTTTGACAAAAATAAGAAAGCTAAAGCCCTACAATTTATCTAATTTAGGTCAGGTAACCATGGAAACAAAAGAATATTAAAATTATTTATTTTATCATTATGCACATTGAAGGAAATCATGACAGACCTTTTCCACCATAAAATTATATACACCCATTTATTTAGCTAGAAACACTAGCTTGAGAGGTACTGATATATTCCATTTGTGATACTTTCTGTACAGCAAACAAATATCTTATATTTGGAGCACATTGAAGAAAACATTGTCTCAAGTCTTTTTTGAGTCTCAATCACTAAGAGTTCAAGGTACTTTGGGAGAATCCTGGTGTCCTGGATGGCTTGATCAATGTATTAAAATCAAGCAGTGTGTATTCTTAAAATACTCTTAAATCCATACAAATGTTGCTAGAGTTGTGGAGCTGAGATTTCTCCTACTGGCATGATAAAATGTAAAGAACATGTGTTATGAAAGCTTCACACCAATTTTATTTTGTTCCTTCTTCATTAGCCGTTGTGCTTCCTTTTCCATTTTCTTCCTTTGTTGTTCGGCTGCTCTCTTTTCTCTGTCTGCTAGTTTCTGCTGTCTGAAAAGAAATATACTTATATTTTTACTTTTAGAAAATACTACACAGGTAAAATGGCAAATAAATTCTAGAAACAAATAGCAGTGCCTTTTTATCACCACCAAATAAAATGTTGAAAGTCTTGAAATCTTCTAACTTGAAAATTCCAAATATTTTCAAAAACAGGATTTCTCTTAGTTCCTAGAATATGACTTGTGAAGTAGAAGAAATATTATCTCTATTTTACAAATAAGTAAAATGAGGCATAAAGGCTACGTGCAGTCACAGGAAGTCATAGGATTAAGTACAGGGATAAGAACCCACATCTTCTGACACTTCTTATTCAGATTATCTCCATTTCGTAAAACAGTACTTCCATTGAACCACATCTTTTTCTGGGGATACCATTCAGAAAAGCTTGATATTGAGCTTGATAATCTCCTGTTAATATAGTAGTTATAAACAGCCAGTTTTTAAAGAGAATGATGAACACAGCTGAACAGAACACATGCTCCAAAAAGAAAATGGAAACTTAAGATACACCTTCCACCTAGAATCTAGAAATAAATTTCAAGATTAACATGTGATTAACTCTACCAAAGAGAAGAGTGGTGGGTATTTAATCAAATACTGCATGTTCTCACTTATAAGTGGGCGCTAAATTATGAGAACACATGAACATATAGAGAACAATGCATACTGGGACCTACCAGAAGGGAGGAGGTTAGACAGAGGGAGAGGATCAGGAAAAATAATGGATATTAGGTTTAACACCTGGCTGATGAAATAATCTGTATGACAAACCCCCTTGACACGTTTACCTATGTAACAAACCTGCACATCCTGCACATGTACCCCTGAACTTAAAAGTTTTTTTTAAAAAAAAGAGAGATAGGTATTTACTAATTACACTTTGTGAAACACATACCCCTTCCTTACTCTTTCCATAACTCCATTGACCCAGACTCACTCTCTCTATCTTTATTGATTGGTTTATGTAGGGAGTGGAGGTAGGAGTGGGATGATGAAACAGGACAGAGCAGAGTGAACATACGTTGGTCCTGGATCTGAAGGGTTAGGGTGTGAGAAAATCGTTCAAGTATGCAGTGTTGAGGAAGGAAGCTACAGGTCACAATTGGGCATGGAATAGGCAACATTAGGTTATATGCAGAAAAATCCAAAGTGGATTATCTATGTCTGGGGGAGATCAATACTGACTACAGTGAGTGAAAAGTATGTACAGTTCTCAATCATAAACAGGAGTAGGCAGAGTTATGGATGACCAAAATTCAAGAAAGTAAAGAAACTATTTTTGGCAACATTTTGACTTTTGCTATCAATTTCTGAAGAACAGTTTTAAAAAATCTATTTTTCATCACTCTGCTCATGTTCAAGAAAAACTAATAATCTGAACTAAAAATGTCAAACCAGAAGAAAAAAGGAAGGTAAGGAAAAAACTATAAAGGGCTGGCTAGGCTATAAACAAGTGAGATAACAAAGTTTTGACCTGGTTACTAGCTAAAATAATATAAGGGCTGAGCACCTCAAATACAAAAATCCAAAATCTGAAATGCTCCAAAATCTGAAATTTTTTGAGGGCTGACCTGATGCTCAAAGGAAATTGTCACTGGAGCATTTCAGATTTTAGATTTTCATATTTGAGATGATGAACCAGTAGTAGAACACAAATATTCTAAGGTCTCAAAAATTTCAAAATCTGAAACACTTCTGGTTCCAAGCATTTTGGAAAGGGATACCCAATCTGTATCAAAATCTAAAATGTAAAAGAGACAATGTAAGAGATAGCTGCAGACGACAATACATTTTACCTATCCAGATTCATGCTGGGAATTGTTAAAGTACCAGAATCATCATTCTTAGCAATACTGATCACAGTACTAGCAGCATTTTATAGTGGCAATAGGAAAAAAGCTCAGAGTTAGAAGATATGGAATGTGGATACACTTTTAAAATGCTCAGTGTCTATTCAGGGGCAGTAACAATGTACGGACGCCTCCATTTCTCTTTGGCTCTACCTATGTACTTGCAGCATGAAGCATGTCTATTACAGATTAACAATCTCACTCTCCCAAGCTGTCCTTAAAGGGTAAAACATTAAGTTTTTAAGTACATTTTTTTCATTTGTCTTGTTCTGTTAGGGGTTAAGAGGCTATAATGAAAAAGAAAAGGTTTTTGTACAATGTTAAGATACTTGTGAACTCATGGCATGAACTCTACAGTGAGATTACTGTATTTAAAAAGGACAGCCCCCTTCCTTTGTCTTTGCAGTTAATGGCACTAATAATTACTAGAATCCCCAAAATGTCTTAAAATACTCAGACATCTGTATTTATTATTTACTTTTTAAAATAACACTGAATTTTAAAGAGACAATTTGTCTTTTTTGATGATCCATGCAATATCCTAAGTGTTACAGTTCACAATTTAAAAAATGTTCCCTTTATAAAAGATAAGCTATACTGACTAAGAACTAAATTTTAAAAACTCTCACATTTTCCTGACTGAATTTTGAAATGTGACATCCCCTAACCAGCAAAAAAACAAACAAACAAAAAAGGACTTGATATATTTCAAAGGAAAAAAACCCAAAAACTTCAAACAAAATTCCCAGTTATTTAGCTGCACCCTCTGCTGGTTGTTCAAAGTAACTGTAATTTATTGACAAAGCCAAGAAAGGAAAATACAAAAATGAAATCCGTTTTTTTGTTGAGAGTCAGATAAAGAATAATTTGTTTGCTATTCCTATGGTAAAAACAATCTAAATTTTAAAATTAAAAAAAAATTATATTGCTGTATCTTACTATACAATTTTTAAAATGCATAAATTATTTAGATTTATTTAAATATCTGACTTTTAAAAATCAGTAGTCACTAGCTCTCCCTTAAGATAAATTTTCTCTTTACTCTTTGACCTAACGTAGCAGTACTAAGAAATATGTTTGCTGCTCACACACAAAAAAGAACCACCAATAAAAATGAACTTTAGAACTTCCAGAATAGTATTTTTTGTAGAATGGGTAGTTCATCTAACACATAGGGCTTTCACGGACATCATTTAAGATATATGTACAAACGTACAGTGTCACATAAGTTATTTTCATTCAAATGAGCAGTGCTGGGCACTATGCTAGATCATGAGGAAATGGAAGTAAAGTTGTAACTTCTGATCTACAGGAATATCAAGCTTGCAATATGATATGTATCATATGTATATAACCATATATATATATAAAATTTTTTATATACATGTATACATAACATTTCATCTGCCATTAATAAAGTTATTTTGTTCCTACAGTGCTTAAAATTCTTGGTTTCCGTGAGGTTTTAATCATATAAAATAGTATCTGCAGTCTGAAATTTAAAAAAAAAAACAAAACAAAAAAAACAACTCCATATTATCTAAGGCTCAAATGAAGAAAAACATATTTGGCAGAATAGGCTCCCTTGACTTGAAACACAGGAGGGAAGAAATCTAGTTCTTCTACTCAGGTTGCAATATAAATGCCACTCAAATACCTTAGAACTTCTTCTGCTTGCCAGGCTGCATCTTCTTCTTCTTCCCATGCATTGGTATTTTCTTGCCAGGTATCTAAGTCACCTAATTCAGACTACAATGAAAAGTAAAACAAAATTAAGAGAGTAAAAGTCATCCTTTCTCCACACAGTCGTCAAAAAGAGTATCTTTTAACACGTAACTTAGAACCTGTCATTCTGCTGTGTCTTTTCAGTTTCCTTACCCTGTCCTATACAAGGCACAAATGATTTTGCTTTTGGCTTGCCTAGAACTGATGTATGACTTTCAATGCTCAACAGTCCTAGGCAAGTCCAGCTTGCTTCTTTATTTTATGTTTTATGGGATACTCTCTTAAATTTTCTTCTTTGCTGTACTTTATTTTGAAATGAACAAGAACAGAACATTTCTTTGGTTTCTTTCTCTACTCAGTAAGATGAGGGAGCTGGGGATAGAGTGACAAGAAATTGATTGATCCCAAACTGAATCAGAAATCCTTGACTGGACTAATCTGTGCTGAAAAGAACTGCAAGCTGAAATGTAAAAACTAGCACAGTAATCTTCATTTAAGCATATGTAACTTACCAGAGATTTTTTATTGGCACTTACTACGTCAATCCTAGGCAAAAATGACAAATCATGCAAAGTGTATCTTTATTGAAATACTTCTATGCCATGCTTCCTTTTCCCAGTCTTTCTTACCTGGTATCATCTACTGGTCCCTACCTCTATTTCCCAAGGCAGACCTCCAAAAGTTCACTGTTTTCTTTCAATAACTAATGAAAATGGTCATGCTGGACTGTTTAGGTAGGTCTGGAAGTGACTGTGTGTAAAATAACTGGTACCAATCTGTGAACAGATTTATTTAATATCATATTGTTTTAAATACTTACCCCTAAAAATGAAATAGAATGTTTTGAGCTTTCTTCTTCTGACAATATATGTAATACCATACTCTGTTAAAAATTATTAAAATATTTCTAATTGTTTAATATACATTTCTGAAAGGAGCATTTTTAAAGCTACTGAAAGTGCAAATGACAGCTTTGAAAAGTACCAAGCTATCCTCTTGACTGCAGCAGGTAGAAATCTTGCCTTTTCTTCTCCCCACCTCCTTGTTTTTTTTTTTTTTTTTAGGAATCAGCATTTCACTTTGCTGCCCAGGCTGGAGTGCATGGTGTGATCATGGCTCACAACAGCTTCAAACTCCCGGGCTCCAGGGATCCTCCCACCTCAGTTGCCCTAGTAGCTGGGACTGCAGGCACATGCCACCACACCTGGCTAATTGTTTTTTACTTTTTTTTAGAAATGAGGTCTAGCTATGTTGCTCAGGTTAGTCTTGAACTCCTGAACTCAAGTGATCCTCCTGCTTTAACCTCCCAAATTGCTGGGATTACAAGTATGAGCCACTGCACTCAGCTGCTTTCTTTTCTCTTTACTAATTTGACAAGATTTAAAATTGTATCTTGTTATTTTACTTTGTTTTGTTTGAGACAGGGTCTCACTCTGTCACCTAGGCTGGAGTGCAGTGGTGTGATCACGGCTCACTGCAGCCTCGATCTCTTGGGCTCAAGCAATCCTCTCACCCCAGCCCCTCCCAAGTAGCTGGGACTACAGGCGTGCACCACCACACCCAGCTAACTTTTTTAGTTTGGTAGAGGGGAGATTTCGCCATGTTGCCCAGGCTGGTCTCGAACTCCTGAGCTCCAGTGACCTGCCCACCTTGGCCTCCCAACATGCTGAGATTACAGGCATGTACCACCTCACTGGGCCTACTTTGAGCACTAATAAGATCAAGCTTTTCTTCAAATTGGGTTATGTCTATTTCTTATTTGTAAATTTCCCATTCATATTATCTATTCTTCCACTAAAGTATTTGACTGTTAGAGTAAATAAAATATTTAGATTTTTTTAAAAAGTGAAACTATAGAGACCATTAAAAAGTGTGGTACTGATCCTTTAGTAGGGATGGCCTTAGTAAAAAGAAAAAGGGAGAAAACCATTGATAGATCTGTCTACATAAAAACTAAATACACCTGCCCAACAAAAATACCCAAACCAATTGAACAAACTAAAAAAGTATAAAACGTGACATTTATCTTTAGTATAAAAGAACTCTCACAACAATATGAATGATGAATTCTAGAAAAAAATAAAATACATAGTTTAAAAGAAGAATCTAATTTGTAGAATGAATGGTAAGATATTTTTGGTATAGAAAACAAAGTCCAATAGGTTACCATCCTCTCCTATGCAATGCCCCTTTATTCTGTCTGCTTGGGAGGAAAATACGTGGAAACAGCAGTGGAGACATTCTCCATCTACCCTACTTACCCCTTCTCAACTCTGTAAGTAGTTGTATATTTACAACTTTACAATGAGCTACGATAGTATTATAGTATTATATAGGTGGCAAATATTGCTAATTTGGCGGGTAGGATTAAAGCATTTCACCAATACGGATCAAACATATATGAATAAAGTTTAATTTTGAGATGTATAAAATAAAAAATTAAACATTATAATGCTACATTATTCAGCTAAGTATCTATGGTGTATGTTCATAGCATCATGTAACTGCACAGGAATTATCAAAGTTTGTAATTACATTGATATGTGTGATCATTTATTTAATATCATGTCTCCCCTACTAGAATGCATTTTTCTGAGGCAAAGACCCTTTAATGCCACAGGGTCTGGCTTTAGTAAAAACAATGTTTTTACTCAATGAATTAAAAACATACATATACATGGGTCACCTGGGGAGAGGGGCCTCAGAAGCAACTATGCAGTTTACACAAATAAATAAAATACATAGATTGACAGACAAATGTAGTTTAAAAATACGTCCACAACTTCTTAGACATTCCTTCCTTCAAGAGGTGGAGGCTTGCGTGTGGGCTGGATTTAGTGGCTTCTAAAGAAATAACGTGGAAGTGACAGTGTATCACTTATAAAACCACATCACAAAAAGGCATTGTGGTGTCACCCTCACCCATGAGCAAGTGCTCTCACTCTCTTATCACTTACTGGGAAAATCAGCAGTTACGTCATAAAGAAATTCAAGCAGCTCCTTGGAGAGGTGCACAGCAAGGAACTGAAGCTTTGTGCAAACAAACAGCATTAATTTGTCAGGTGTAGAAGTGAGCTGTCTTTGAAATGAATCCTTCGACCACAGTCAAACCTTCAGATGACTGAAGACCCAACCCAATGACTTGTCTGCAAACTCATGAGAAATTCTGAGTTAGAACCACCCAGTTTAGTCACCTGGATTCCCAATTCACAGAAACTGTGACATTAATATTTGTTATTATTTCAAGTCCCTGAATTTGGAGTTGTTACACAACAATAGATAATATAATTAATCAATCAAAGCATGCTTAAAGCTTAGGTAGGTAGGGGTCTGGACATCTGTGCTTTTAAAAAACTTCCAAAGCTGATTTTGATATGCTCCCAAGGTTGAGAACCTCAGCTGTCTACTTCTTTCAAAAATTTTTCCTTTAAAAAGTTTCATTTAAGTCAAACCATTTAAAATTAAGTCATACTTTGAATGAAAATACACTCTGTGAAGAAAACAATTCACAACTCACTTTAAAATAATCTACCATTAGGGTTAATCTCTCATTTTAAGGGTAATCTCTCTGATGTTTATATTTTTAAATAACATTGTGTCTATCTTTCACGTGTACAGTGAGACCTTGATTTTAGTATCTAATGTAATTTACAATCTCATAAAACGTTAGGATTGGTAAAACTCCAGATTAACCTCTCTCGAACTGCTAAACTTGTTTCAAAGTTACAAAAACATAAATACTATGTTAAACTCATTTAGATTTTATTCCTCTGCTTTAAAGAAAACAGAAACAAAACAAAACCTTTCCCTAGAACCATTAATATACTTACAGACTGATGAATAAAAGGCAGATCTTGCGTAGCTGCTAATCTACTAGAAAAACCTGTGCTCCCATCTGGGATGACAAAATTCAATGGTTCTCTCTTCTTAATAACAATCTGAAAGATTAATTGAAAAAGAATTATAGGGATATTTTACAAATCACTACATAAGAACAGACAACCAAAACATTTTGTAATTACTTAAAATATTTCTTTTTAAAATTTACAACGTAAAAACTAAAAAAAGTCTATAAATACCAATTTCCCAGGCAATTGTTGTACAAATCAGTTACATACTAAGAAAAATTGTATTTCACTTTTAAAAATTAATACAGTCTCATTTTCTTTCTTCCTCTCCTACTTTCCCCAGACCCCAAAATATAATCAATCACTTTTAGTTACTGTATTAAATAAGAACAGGTATTATATCCTGCCAATAGTATAAACAACTCTCCCAGCATGTGAGATACCTATGAATACATTAACTCATTCAGGCCAATAGCATCAAAATACACTTATATGATATGTTGGCAGCCTTATTCAAAGCATTTCCACTCTAATTAATTTAATAAGGCACTATAGTGTAATATACTAGCTTCCTACTGAGAGCAGCAGTATACTTCCACAATACAAGGTATTCCTCTACTAAGAAATTCACTTAAAGAATCCTTTAAAAATACACAATTTAATGTGTTTTAGCATTGAGAAATTTGGACAACTCAACAAAAAAGAATGTAAATGTTATCAACCTAGACAATGTAAATATAAAGGTATAGCTGAAATCAGTTGAGGGAAAGGTGAGGAACAACTGCATTATAAATTGTGAAATAATGTCCTAATTTTTATAAAGTGTGTGTAAAAATATACATACATATATATATATATGATAACATTTTCTATGTTTGAACAGGAAAGTGAGCTTTAAGTGTGTTTTTCTGATATAGCAGATTGGGAAATAAATAAATCTTCATTTACCATAATATTAATGTTATGGACAATGTCTGTTACTGGTAAACAAGAAATGGAAATATAATCATATTATAGATAGATATGGTGACAAACACTTGAAGAAATCCAAACAGAAAATTATTGAGTGGCTGCTTCTTGGAAGTAGAACTGGCTAAGAAGAGTGATAGGTCAGAAGTCTAACTTTTCATTATAAGTTCTTCTACATTTTTTGATTTAAAAAAAGTACATGTAGTATTTTGATAAATGAAAAGGAAAATACTCAAGCATTCTGATTTTTCCAGTAATTCCCTGTATCTCTAAATGATCTTCCATATTCAATTCAAAAGAGATTAAATAATGTATAGATGACTAATACAAACTCACAATTATTCTTAAGTTCTTAGAGTCCTCCATCAGTTTTATAATGGTTACAAACAATAAAATCCACTTATCAGTTTGTAGATATTACTAAAGTATGAACTTGTTAGAACTCTCATCCAATTCACCTTAGTCTCCATGGCAGAGATTGGAGTCTAGAATCTGACATATAGTAGGATTTCGATACATGTATAAATATAATTTTAAAAGATTTGGGGTACAACTTACTAGAACTATGTCCTGGTCATTTGAACATATAAAATTCTTACTTAACACGACAGAAAACAAACAATAAATAGTTAGAAATAGGCTTTCTAAGAAATGTGAATTGTATAATCTAATTTTAACTATAGGAATCTAAAAAGTAGTTTAATCTCCAAAAGCATAAATCTTAACATACTTTCTGAGTTTTCCTAATAGTTGGTGTCATGTCCTTAAAATAGTCAGGTTCCAGTTGTTCCAAAGAATTTTGTTGTGTTGCCACACTCCCATTCCCTCCTTCGATCTTTACACTGGTGGGTGCATCTTCATCCCAGGAAGTCCACTCTTCAACATCTGTCTAAATTTAATTGATCAACAGTATCAGCCACAAAGGGGCAACTTAATGAACATTTCATTGATGATTTATTAGAAAAATGGACTTTTCAAAAACACTGGTTTTCACACATTTTTGACCCACAGGAAAATATACATTTCATATCGCAGATCAAAACTTGATCAAAAGTTGAAAAAATACAAGACATTCTGATATATTATGTTCTATTTTATTCTATTATGTCTATTAAAAACAAAAAACAAAGTAAACCAAAAGCAAATGCTCTGAAAACTGAACTGACATTAAAACTACAACCCATGGAAGGACTGGACATTTTCATCTAAGCCTAACCAGACTGATCATCTGATAAAAAATACCAAGCTTCTCCACATGATTTAAATAAGACAAAGTCTCAAAGCATAGTATTCAAAATGTTCATGAAACAACCCAGAATTATTCAGCACATAAAAATCAATAAATCTTAATTTGCAAGGTAAGTTAATCAACAGATACCAACACCAAAATGATATGTTGGAATTCTCTAAGGCTTTACAATAGCTATTATAAAAATGCTCCAACAAGCAATAGCAAACACTTGAAACCAATGAAAACAACATAGAAAATGTCAACAAAGAAACAAGATAAAATGAAGAACTAAATAGAATTTTCAGACCAGATAAATTTAACAACACAACAAAAATCAAAGTAATTTCTATTCATATATTGTTCTAGGACACTTACTCAATTTTTCAAAAACAAAACAAAACAAAACAAAAGAACAAAGAAAAACCTACCTGCTTAGGAACTGATGAATAATCAACTGTAGTTGGCAAAGTTATTTGGTCTCCACTTAATTTCCGTCCTCTGCCAGATCTGAAACAAAAATGAAATAATTTATTTCAAGAACTACCAAAACAAGCAAAGTAAAAGCACTATGTATCTGGTAATTTAAGGCTTATAAAACAAGATCTTTCTCAATTTTATGATTATTGATTTTAATAATTAACAGTTACTCATTAATTTATGGTAAAAAAGTCATAAACCAGACATCTTGTGAATGTTTTTTAAATCTTGGACAGAAACAGAACAACGCAACTGCTTTTTGGCTTAAGACTCCAAATTATAAACAAATTCAAGAGGAATATAAAGTCAAAAACAAAAATGCAAGATGGTTTCAGAGCATGCTCCTTGGAGTGCTATGGGTTCTGTGGGTGAAGTTCTGGGCCACCTCTGCTGTTTTAAACAGGGTGGCTTGGCTTTTATGTTTTATACATGGGGTTTCTTGATAAGATTAACTATTAAGAATTAAATCACTGGTTTGAACCAAACGGTAATTTAGTTTTAAGGATTAGTAGGAGAAGTACCACATTAAACAGGACGTACTATAACTCAGTTGTTAAGAACATGTGCTGTGGGATCTGTAAACCACAGTTTTCAATGTTACTTCTATTATGTCTAGTTAGAATTATCTACTTCTCAGCCTCAACAGCCTCATCTATAAAATGCAGGTATTCAAACCCACTTTTGCAGCATTGTTTGGATTTAATTAACTGACATATTTAAAATCCCTAGACAGTGTGTGCCTGCTACATCGCAAAACATACAAAAAATGGCAGGTAATAGAGATGATGAGTCACTTACTTTACTTCAAATAATCTATAAAGCATCGATAAGAACTAATTGATAAAGTCAGCTATTTTTATTACAGATTCAAAGCTATATTTGTTTAAAGGCTGAATAGAAAAGTAATATAAAAAAGTAATATGAAATTTATGACATAAGCCTGTTTTTCCTTTCAGTAGAGATGGGGTTCTGCTGTGTTGCCCAGGCTGGTCTTGAACTCCTGGCCTCAAGCTATCCTCCCACCTCGGCCTCCCAAGGCATTGGGATTACAGACATGAGCTACCATGCCTGACCAAGCCTGGTATTTTAAAATACATGGTCTAAGGTTCCTTCAGACACCAAAGAGAAACTTATCCTAACATATGGTCAGTTTTCTTTAAAATAGAACATACAATCAATTCTAAATATGTATATATTTACAATAGGAATGTCCTTAATATTTTTACATCAAGAAAATTTCTTATCCTAAAAGTAATCTATTTAATGAAAATTTTAAAAAATAATAGTGCAAAAAGAAAACATCTATATTTCATCAGCACTGTTAACACAATGCTTCTTATTTTAACTTCCTGTCTTCTGGCAATTAATACCCATTTTTAATGTTGCTTTACCTGGTGAATTTCTGGCCATTCTCTTCCTCATTCTCTGGTCATTTAAACACTTAGGTCACTCCTTTTTCTACTTCCCAAATCCTACCCTCTTGGGTGATTTCAAGTCAACCACCTAAATTTTCCATTTCTTTCTTGACTTCTGCTCGAGTGATTATCTCTGGATGATCATTTCACCCACTTGGTCTCTTGCAATACCCTGGACTTTTTTTTTTTTTTAAATCTCAGACCACTCTACTTGCAGCAATAAATTCAATGGCACTTAAGTCTCAGAGTTTTAGCAGCTATCAAATGGTCATTTAGCCAGAGACTGCAGTTCCTATCCTTCCTTGCAGCTAGGGGGCCATATGACTAAGCTCTGGAAAGCAGGCAGTGCAAAAATTGTTGTGTGGAACCTCTAAATAATGTCTCTCTCTCTCTCTATATATATAAAAAGAGCTGATTGCTATCCATTTCCTCTTTTACTATACCCTCCTCTTAATGTGTAACTTTTTCACAGTACCCTTAGGCCACAGAAACACCTAACAATTCTACCAAATAAGATAGTTACACCCAGGCCGGGCGCGGTGGCTCAGGCCTGTAATCCCAGCACTTTGGGAGGCGAGGCGGGTGGATCACGAGGTCAGGAGATCGAGACCATCCTGGCAAACACAGTGAAACCCCATCTCTACTAAAAAAAAAAAAAATACAAAAAACTAGCCGGGCGAGGCGGTGGACGCCTGTAGTCCCAGCTATAGGGAGGCTGAGGCAGGAGAATGGCGTGAACCCAGGAGGCGGAGCTTGCAGTGAGCTGAGATCCGGCCATTGCACTCCAGCCTGGGCGACAGAGCGAAACTCCGTCAAAAAAAAAAAAAAAAAAAAAAAAAAAAAAAAAAAAAAAAAAAAAAAAAAAAAGATAGTTACACCCAAAAATCTTAATACTTAAGTATGTCCTAACTGCTTAGTAGCCATTGTAAAAAATACACATTTAAAGAAAACTTCATATTTCTATTTTATTCTTAAATAACCACAATCACTGTACTTATTAATGAAATGTGTGTGCCTGTTGAACACTCCACAGCTTCTTATGCCTCAGAATAAGACTGGAGACCATCATTCTTGTTTTCAGTTCTACATTAATTTTGGTGCAGTACTTGCTTTTAATTACAACCTAAAATCCTGGCTTTGCAACGAGATGTCACCAAAAATACAAGTAAACAAAAACTATCTCAAACATTAAAGAATACCATCATAAAAAAATACTGTAGGATTTAATGTTGCAAATATGAACTACTTTGAGTTGAGGTATTCAACAGATGCTATCACTACATTTCACTGGAAAATTTAAAATATTCTATGGCAACCCTGTGAATTTCATGTAAAGCCGTGAGGTGCCTCAGCACACATTTTAGAAATCATAGCTCTTGGGTATGATCCTGTGACAAAACAGAAGGAACTGAAGTCTACAGATGATGTCCTAAAGCAAATGACTTACCTGCCCTTGACTAGCATATTCTGGAATGTTACTTAAATAGACAAAATAATTTTTTTAAATATAAAAACAACACTACTGTAGTATAGGCAGAAATACCTATTCCGAATTTCACCTAACGACTTTAAAACATTCCTATAATGAAACAAATCCATCAAAGTTCTGTGATGATTATAACAACGCAAGTTGGTCTGTCTATTCCTAAATAGTATTAAGCATATTATTTTAGTGGAAAGTGTAAGAATTTGAATGAACAAAACAACTAAACCTCTATTTTCTAGATCTGAAGTAGAGAAAAAGTATTTAAAAATGACTAGGAATTAATGAATAAATACTGCAATCAAGATATTCAGCTTAAATATAACCTGTCCCGTCCACAAAATTTTAAGTTTTGAAGGCATCCAAAACCAGCGAGGAGATAAACAGGTCAGTTTGAACATAAAACTTACCTGCATATTAATCTCTTTAGGAATGAGAATACTGTTGCTAGGCAGGTACAAAATTTAAATAACCGAAACTGGGTGATGGCCATGGTGGGACTCAAAACCTGTGGAAGAGGCACAAAACAAAAAATGCAGTAAATCGATTTCAAAAGTCATACTCCTGTCCTGAAGAGACCTATTATGCACTAAGAAAAATTTAAGATAGTTTTTACTTTTCTCTAGAAACTATAACACAGTAAATTTTAAAATTATAATTTAAATCATATTAACAATTCAAAAACCAGATATTTGAGTTTTCAGTGGTTGTAAGGATAAAATCCCTCATTTTGAGTTTTTGAAAATATTTTACCTAAATCTATTAATACAAAAATTTACAATTCAAAAAATCAAAAGTATAAAATAGTATATATAAATCTCTGTGTACCTTTTGAAGTTTGAACCACATGAATATAATACTATTTAAAATATTTTAAATATTTTTAACTTGCAGATGAATATGTTTCCTTATATCCATTTTATAGATGAGGAAATTGAATTAAGAGAGGTCACATAACTTGATCAAAGTCACATAGCTAGTAAGTTGAAAGTTACCATGGAGCTCATTTAGTCCAGTGGTTCACAAATCTGGGAATCTGTTAAAGAAATGCCAATACCTAGGACTACCTCTAGTAAGTCCATTAAATCATATATTCTGAGGCGTAAGGGCTGGTCACAACCAATAAGACAAGAAGGGAGATTAAAAACTACTCAACTGAAAAGGCAGCAGGAAACAAGGAAAAGAGAACAAATAACATATGGGACAAGTCAAAAACAAGTATGATGACAGACATAAATCTAACCATATCAATAATCTCATTAAATGCAAATTGTGTAGCATTTCATTTGAAAGGCAGAGATTGTTAGATTGGATAAGAAAGGAAGACCGCCCCCCTCCATGCTGCCAATGAGAAATGCATTTTAAATAAAAAGACACAAATAGGTTAAAAGTAAAAGGATAGGAGAAAATATACTATGCTAGCACTAAGAAGCTGAAGCGACTCTTTCAACGCTAGACAGATTATAGCAAAAAGAACATTACCAGATATAAAAGTGCTCATTTCACAGTGATAAAGGGGTCAATTAATAAAAAGTACATAACAATCTAAAACATGTGTCCTTAATAATAGAATTTCGCCAATATAATGAACAAGACAGATGACATTAGATTCTGCAGATATTAAAAGGATACTGAAGAACTATTACCTTTGTTCCTGTATTTACTTGACAACTGAGATGAAACGGACAACTTCTCTGAAAGACACAAATTACTAAAGCATAAGAACAACCTGAAAATCTGTGTATCTATTAAAGAAATTAAATTTGTAGTTATAAAAGTTTCCCAGGCACAGATGGCTTCACTGGTAAATTCTACAAAACATTTAGGAAGGAATAATACCCATTCTATATAAACTGCCAAAAAACTGAAGAAGGAATATTTTCCCAACTCATTATTTGAGGCCAGTATTATACTGATACTAATCCAAAGATATTACCAGAAAAGAAAACTATTAATATTCTATGAATCTAGACACAAATCTCCTTAGCCAAATGTTAGTAAATTAAATCCAACAATATATAAATGGATACGACAGTGTGAAAAATTGGTGCTTAGTTTGGAAACGTTGGATTGATTTAACATTTAAAAATCAAATGTCATTCACTGTATTAGCAAACTAAAAACGAACAACCATATAAACATCCCAAGAGACAGAAAAAGCCTTTGACAAAACTCAACATCCATTCCTGTTAAAAAAAAAAAAATGCTGCAAAGTATAAGGGAACTTTCTCAACTTGATCAAGAACGTCTATGAAAAAACTACAGTAATATAAGACTTAACGGTAAAAAAAATTCGATAGTTTCTCCCTATGATCATGAACAACACAAGCATGTCTGCTTTTTCTACTTTCAGTCAACATCATAGTGGAAGTTCTGGCCAATGTAATCCAGCAAAAAAGAAGAAAAAAGAAAAAAATAGAAAAGAAATAAAAAGCATCCAGAATGGAAAGGAAGAAATAGAAGTGTGCTACTCTACATGGAAAATTCAATGGGATCTACAATTAATTGTATTTCTACACGTTAACAACAATCAGTAAGAAATTGAAATGTTAAAAAAACATTTACATAGGCATAAAAAATATGATACTTGAGGACAAATCTAATTAAGGACTTGATTACTGAAAACTATCAAATATTGCTGAGACATTTAAAAGGCCTATATTAATTTAAAAAGACTTTTTCAGAGATAGAAGACTTTTATTAAGATATCAACATTTCCCGAAATGAGTTATAGATTCCATGCAATCTCAACCAAAATCTTGGCACGTTTTTTCTGTAAAACTTGACAAGCTAATTTCTAAAATCCATATGGAAATGCAAAGAACGTATATAGTAGCCAAAACAACACTGAAAAAGAACAAAGTAAAACTGCTAGCACTATCTGGTTTCAAGACTTGTTATAAAGCTTCAGTAATAAAAAATGAATAGTATTAGAATCAAAATACATGAATAGATCAATGAAAAGTACAGGAATAGACCCACATACATACAAACAACTGAAATTTGATAAAGATGCAAAGGTTAATTCAGAGAGAAAAGAATAGGTATTAAGAAAAAAAGAAGTACTGGTTAAACTGGATACCCACATGGAAAAAATCAAAACAAAAACCTTCAATATATATCTGGCACCAGTTACAAGTAATTAAAAATACATCAGAGACCTAAATGTAGTCTGAAACTACAAAATTTCCAAGGAAAAAAAAAAAACAAAACTTGGTAACCCTGGGTCAGGCAAAGATTTTTAGGTAGTACACAAAAGCACAATCCATAAAATAAAAGATTGGCAAACTGGACTTTATCAAAATTAAAACCTACAATTCAAAAACACTATTAATGGAACAAAAAGACAAGTCACAGACTGAGAGAAAAATCCTTGCAAAGCATATGTCTGATAACGGACTTAAACTCAGAATATATAAGAACGTCTCAAAATTCAAAAATAATTTTAAAAAAACTCAATGTAAAAATGAGCAAAAGGTCTACCTTGGCGTTTCATCAAAAAATATATACCTGGCTGGGCGCCGTGCCTCACGCCCGTAATCCCGGCACTTTGGGAGGCCAAGGTGGGCAGATCACAAGGTCAGGAGAACAAGAACATCCTGACGAACACAGTGAAACCCTGTCTCTACTAAAAATACAAAAAATTAGCCAGGTGTGGTGGTGGGCACCTGTAGTCCCAGCTACTCTGTAGACTGAGGCAGCAGAATGGCACGAGCCCAGGAGGCGGAACTTGAAGTGAGCGGAGATCGTGCTACTGCTCCAGCCTGGGCGACAGAGCGAGACTTTGTCTCAAAAAAAAAAAAAAAAGAAAAAAAAAAGAAATGAAAAAGAACATATACAATGGTAAATAAGTACATTAAATGATGGTCAACATCTTTAATCATCAGAAAAATGAAAATTAAAGCCACAGTGAGAAATTATTACATACCTACTGGGATGATTCACACTAAAAATAATGACCATAGCAAGTACTGGCAAGGATTTGGAACAACTGGCACTCTCATACTTTAATAGTGGGAAAGTAAAACGTACAACCACTTTGAAAAACAGTTTGGCGGTTTCTTACAAAGTTTGACAGACATCTACCATATGACCCAGCCATTCTACTCCTAGTAATTTACCCAAGATAAAGAAAAGCATATGGACATATAGACTTGTATTTGAAGGGTGAGGCAGGAGAATAGCTTGAATGCGGGACGCGGAAGTTGCAGTGAGCCAAGATTGAGCCACTGCACTTCAGCCTGGTGACAGAGCAGGACTCCATCTCAAAAAAACAAAAAACAAACAAACAAAAAAAACTGAAATAAATAAATAAAGACTTATATTTGAATAGCAGCTTTTTTACTTAATAGCTCCAAACTGGAAACAACACAAATGTATATCAACAGGTGACTGGATAAACAAATTGTAGTATATAAATACAACAGACTACTACTACTCAACAATAAATAGAAATGAACTATTGTTACAAGTAATAGCATGACTATATCTCAAAATAATTTTACGGTATGAAGAGTCAGACCACCAAAAAAGTATACACTGTATGATTCCATACACAGCATTTTTTAAGCTCTAGAACAGGGGTGGTTCAATCTTTTGGCTTCCCTGGGCCACATTGGAAGAAGAATTGTCCTGGGCCACACACAAAATATACTAACACTAACCAGAGCTGATAAGCCTAAAAAAATTGCAAAAACAGCTCATAAGGTTTTAAGAAAGTTTACTAATTCGCATTGGGCTGCATTCAAAGCCATCCCGGGCTGCATGAGGCCCACAGGCAGCAGATTGGACAAGCTTGCTCGAGAAATTATAAACAAATATAGAGTGACAGAAAATATCAGCAGTGCCTTGTAATGGGGCAGGGAGGAGTGGGAAGGAAGGATCACTGAGGGACATGAGGAAACTTTTGCAGGTAATGGATATATTTACTGCTTCATTTGTGGTGGTTTCATAGGTGAGTGTATATATATTCATCAAAACTAATCAAATTGTATACTTTAATTATATACAGATTATTGTATTTCAATTAGAGCTCATAAGAGCTGTTAAAACAATCTACACCAAGACATTTTTGAACAATATTATGTCACTTAAATTAGAACACTGTTCATATTCTGATTAGAATATTATTTTTAAAAGTCATCAACACCATAATTATCTTGTATCAATTATTTGTTACTTTCTAGAAAGCCAACTTCCATTAGGAAACTAGGACAATTAGTGAAAAGAAACATTATGTCAGAACTTCTCTAAAAACAGAAATCTGATTTCACAATAGCGTTGCAATATACTGTAATAACTTACTTTATATTTCATGAAAAGCATTCTTCTTAGTGATTAACATGTAGTAACTCATTTAATGCTCACAACCACCATGGGAAGGACTTGAAGCAAGTACTATTTTGTCCCTACTTCAGATAAGAAAACTAAGGCACAGAGGGGTTAAGCAAGCTGCCAAAGACACAGAACTGATAAGTTATAGAACTGGAATTTGAACCCAAAGAGTATGGCTGCAATGCTTCAGTCCTTAAAGATTACACTCATACTGCCTCCCTATGATTAAATAACAAGATATATGTCTTTATGAAAGAGATGATACAGGAATTGAAAACTACAGCCACAGCAATGATAGGAATAAAGATTCTAAAAATGGCAAAACTATGCCGGGTGCAGTGGCTCACGTCTGTAGTCCCAGCGCTTTGGAAGGCTGAGGCGGGCAGATCAAGAGGTCAGGAGATCAAGACCAGCCTGGCCAATATGGTGAAATCCCGCCTCTACTAATAATACAAAAATTAGCCAGGTGTGGTGGCACATGCCTGTAGTCCCAGCTACTCAGGAGGCTGAGGCAGGAGAATCGCTTGAACCTGAGAGGTGAAGGTTGTGGTGAGCAGAGATCATACCACTGCACTCCAGCCTGGGCAACAGAATGAGACTCCATTTCAAAAAAAAAAAAAAAAGGTAAAACTGGTATTATTTTGGTAGCCTTTTTTTGGGGGGGTGTGGGGGGGAAGACACAGTCTTGATCTGCCGCCCAGGCTGGAGTGCCGTGCCATGGTGCAATCTGAGTTCACCGCAACTTCTGCTTCCCGGGTTCAAGCAATTCTCCTGTCTCAGCCTTCCGAGTAGCTGGGGCCACAGGTGCCTGCCACCACACCAGGGTAATTTTTGTATTTTTAGTAGAGACGGGGTTTCACCATGTTGGCCAGGCTAATCTCGAACTCTTGACCTCAAGTGATCCACCCCCTTGGCCTCCCAAAGTGCTGGAATTACAGGTGTGGGCCACTACGCCCGGCCTGTATCCTTTTTAAACATGGTTCTTAATTTTCAAATTTTTCTTATACAGTCACCTATACTACATATGTATTGCGTATTATGTATTTATATATACATATATCTATATATGTGTATATATGTATATGTATCTATATATGTGTATACACACATATATATTATATATACATATATACTATATATCATATATATTGCGTATATATGTATTTACCCTAATAATCACTATTTAATTTTTAAAATTTCTTAAGATGAGTTTTGGCACAAGTTAAAGTTGAATACTTAAGTAACTATGACAATGTCCCAACTAAGAGCCTCAAAATATATACAAAAGAGGGAAAAAAAAATCTGTTAATCCATGAGAGACAGTCATTTTTCCAATGTTGAGAGGTAGAATAGACCACGTTAAATCAAGTCACAAGAAATACACAGGCAAACATACATATTTGCGTGCATATGTGCACACACTTACAGGAATGACGCTACTGATAATGGAATCTCATGTCTTAGCTTTTCCTTGCCTTGTCTTTGTCAAAGGAGGAGAATTACTAAGTATTCAGAATCATGATTCCTGTCATTGGAACAGCTGGAGAATGTATCATCCAGCTTCTTAAATTTTCTGAATAAGGAAACTAAGATACACTGAAGTTAACGGTTCTGCTCAAGGTGAAACAACCAGCTAATAACAAAACCACAACTAAAACAGAATGGCCTCTCAATCCAATAGTAACACCTTTAGAAACAATCACAACACTTGATTAATACAATTATTTAGAGTGCTGATTTCTTAAAACAAACAGAAAAAACATACAATAATGTGATATTTTTTTCCAAAACAAAAAAGCATAAGCAGTATATTTGGACTTCAGTTCTACACATACTTACTTAAAAGGGGATAAAACCTAACTTAAGTAATAATTATCATGTGACCACATTAAAGGGACAGCTATATACTCCTTTTAAAAACTGAAATACTGATTAGTTTTTTAATTACCTTACATGAGCATAAGATAAGCAATAACATTTAGAAACATAAGGAGTAAAATCATCCTGGATAAATATACCATCCCTGTACTATAACACACTTTTTTTGTTTGTTTGTTTGTTTTTGAGATAGAGTCTTGCTGTGCCTCCCAGGCTGGAGTGTGGCAGTATGATCTTGGCTCACTGCAACCTCTGTCTCCCGGGTTCAAGCTATTCTCGAGCCTCAGTCACTCCCAAATCTGGGACTACTGGCACATGCCACCACACCCGCTATTTTTCTGTTTTTTAGTAGAGACAGGGTTTCGCTGTGTTGGCTAGGCTGGTCTCAAACTCCTGGCCTCAAATGATCTGCCTGCCTCAGCCTTCCGAAGTGCTGGGATTACAGGTGTAAGCTACCGTGCCTAGCCCATGCTTTTTAAAAATGCATTTCATGGGCATTCAAGACTCCTAAAGTCTTGAAAAAACCATGTAATGCAGTTTTTTACCTAATAAAACATTACATTGAATGGGTTAAAAATTATATAGTAAAAAAATAATGGTTATCTCTGATAGGGCATACTGAAGCATTAGAGAGCTAAGATCTAATATCTCAATCTGAGTAGTAATACCACATCCTTGACTGTATGTGCTCTTTGTATGCTATACCTCAATACAAAAGTTCCAAACACACACATAAAAAATAAGAACAAAACAAAATCAGAAAGCCAGAAAAACATACTTAACTCTCATAGTATCTGATTTTGATTGCTCTGTAGAGCCATCACTGCTAGTTCCTTCTAAGGAAAGGCAAAATATGCACTAGTCTTTTCTATTTCTAGGATCAGAAGGGGCTTGTAGACAATTAAGGTACAAAGACAGGGCTCCAAAATGTTACCTTAGCAATGCTCATGTACTTTTGTACACATGGAGGCTGTCTCTCCATATGAGCTGAACGATTTACTGAATGCTTAACCTGGAAGTGGCCTACTAATTGACAGTATGAAAAGACAGTGACTGTAAAAAAAAAAAAAAGAACCAGAATATTAAAAAAATTTTACTCCAGTAATTTAAATACTTCTGTCAAAAACATCCCAACTAGTGGTTTACTCAGGTTCAAATCATGCAACAATGCTGACTCCTCCTTTCTCTCTCCTTATACCTAATTCCCAAAAAGACTCTATTCAATTTCCCAGTACTGCCCATATTCTTTCTTATTTCCACTGTAATCTCTCTAGCATAAGCCTTTATTACCTCTTACCGGACTACTGTAAAGTCTTCTTAATTTTGGTATTTTATTCTTTCCAAGAAACATTTTTTATTTTGTATTATGGTTATTTCTATACCTTACTTTGCCCTGTACAACCCTTCTCTAGAGTATTTTATTCATTTGGTACCTTCAGTTACCATTTGCAAAGTAGAGTTGAAAAAAAGTTTGATTGCTTCATTACGAGTAGAATGATCTGAAAAATTACGATGGTGAATGAACGCTTCATTTAAAGCTAATTTGTCAAGAACAAAACTCTCAACCAAAAGAAAACTTTCTCAAATGAAAATTAGCCTAAATTTTCTGAAAAATTATAAGAAAAAAAGCCAGAAAAGAGACTATAGAACATGTGGTACTTGGCGGGGAAGGAAATAGAATCAAGGAGATACTCTATCAGTAGGTTGTGAAGAAAGAAGATGATATTTACCATTTGGGACTGTCAGTTTTAGGATATATATGAATAAAAGTTGAGAATAAATTTCATATAGAGCCCTGGTAACCACAGCCATCACCTTTCCAAATATTGTTAGTGTCATTGTTTAATAAATATTCGCCAACTTGAATGACATCAATGCAAATTGGAGGTAAAATTTAAAGGCTGATTTTGTTTTCCCAACAAAAAATAGAAACTGGGTTTTTTAGTGATTACAGAATAGAATTCTCTCCCTAGCAATCAAGATATACCCTCATTCTGTGGAAAATTTTCTTTTGTGATTAATTAAAGAGAACTGATACTCACTGACTGTCTACTATGGACCAAGTACTATCGAAATGTTAACTCACTTGACTCAAAAAGCCATCTTATGAGATAGATATTACTCTCCTTGTTTCATAGAATTAAACACAGAGTTAGCACATCCACTGACTCCATTCAAACCTTGGTCTGTTTAATTCAAAAGTCGAGAACATCTCATGAACAATGAGCATTCCTAATAATTCAGTGATACTACCACTTCCAAGATAAATTTTCCAACCAGTTGCACTAAAATAGGGAAAATGCGATCAAGTCACACTTTGATTTTATCAGTTACACTGACTGGCAGGCAGGAATATCCTTTGAGACCTGTATTTACCTAATGTCCCAATTCATCTAAATGAATATATATTAGCACTTACTATGTTTCAGTCGCTACTTTGGGTTTGGAGGCTGGGAAATACTACCAACTCTGCACAGGGAAACTCTGCGTTCACTCCCAATTGTCATGAGCTTGCCCATAAACTTGTTCCTGAGGAACGCAAGAAACTAAAGAAGCAGGGCGTCCATCAATCAGTCTTGCTCATTCTGGTATTTATAGGTTTGTCAAAGTTGGGCACATAGTAGGTACTCAAATATTTGCTGAATCGAAGGAAATTAACATTCCTTGAGCACTTGAACGTTCAAGACAATGTTCGATCACCTCACTGGAATCCTCAGGACAACCAAAAGAGGTAGGTTTTTCACTACTCCCGTTTAATAAATGAGGCTGACAGACTTAGATTCACTCATCCAGGATTTAAAGAGACTGACCTGAAAGCCCAAGGCTCTCCCCACATCATATCCTACTTAAGAAACCTTTTAATTGTGTGCACACTGCCTCAGTGCGATTTTTGAAATGCCCTCTAGATCACCAAGTTGATAAGTATCTTAGGCTACTTTACACTTTGGCTGCTTTGAAACACTTTCTAGAACGGAACAATGTTAATATAATCTAATCTTAACATTAAATTTCCTTAAAAATTACAAAGACAAAAATTTGAGGTGTATCAGAACGAGATTCAAAACTATGAGGCAATGTATCCTCATTAAGGCTTTTTGAAGAGATGACATCTCTAGAAAATCAACAGGAATGAGAGCTCTGCCATGTTAACTGAAAAAAATTTTCCTACAATTAAAAAAAAAGAATGCTACATTAGAAACCGATAGATCAAATGTATTATATCTTTTCTTGTTGAAATTCTCGGTAAACTGCTAGACGTCCTTTCAAGGAGCCTCAATATATCACGATTCATAAAACAAGCCAAAATCTATGTCGGTACACACTAAACAAGTGCTGTATTTCTAAAACTCTATTTCCGAATCTTGTCATACCAAAATTTGAAAAACCATATGACCTAGTACAGTCCAGAATATCCTCAAACTATAACTCTCCGAAGTGGGTTAGAAAATATCACAAAGCTCACAAAATAAAATTTACCTGAACTCACTTAAATTTGATAAATAAAGGTTTGAGCAGCGGCCCGTAAGAGAAGGGGAAACAGAAGCGGAGTGTGAGAGCTAAAATCGAACATTCTGTGCCATGTCTGGCAACCCAGAGTCAGGCCCTCAAATATGTGACACCACTGGGGCGGTTCCGAAGGCGGAGTAAGGTTTCCTGAATAACTCAAAAGGAAAGAGTTTCATAACTTAAGTGGTGGTTTCATTTCAGATTACCCACGTGAAATTGGCTGATGAAAAAAAAATCATACCCACTGCACAGATGAGAAAAAACAGGAGCGTTTTCAGGTTATACAAGCCGACGCCTGGCGCCCGGCGTGACGTGAAACGCTCTAAGTTGCTGCAGCTGGATACCAGGTGAACTGGGATTTAAATTGTGGAAAAATCGGCCTGGAGAGGTACAAGGCCTGTAGACGGAGGGCTGTAAGGTCACGGTCACGGAAATTTTCCTGAGGAAGGCGGCTTTGGAGGCTGGGTGCTTTCCGGGCCGGTACCCCGCAGGCCAGTCTCCCACGCGTGAGCCGAGCATGGCGAATGCTGCACGCCCGGGTCCCGCTCCCAGTCGCAGTTTCTTCACCCCAGAGGTCACCCTGACCCGGAAACAGTACCCCAGAAGCAGCGGTCAGGCTTCGGGGGAGGTCGGGTGGAAGGGCGAAAAGGAAGGTGGGAGGGCAGGAAGTGCGCGAAGAGGCGGAGGGCCCACGGCGAAGGCCAGACGATGCCCCAGAGGCTAGGGCTGGGGTCGGGATGGGGGTTGGGAGAGGAAAGCCCCTCCCAAGCACGCGCGAACCGCACACACTCACCTGCCCCTCCCCCTCCCCGCCCGCCCGGCGGAGGCTCCGAGCTGCCGCGGGCCGCGCGCGCGCACACAAGGCGCGCTCACGCGCGCTGCCTGTCTCTTCCTCGAGCTCGCGCTCCGCCCGTTCACTCCCAGCCCCGCTCATTCAAAGCCGGGCGCGCGCTCCCTAGCAGCCTGCGTTGCCTCCGCGCAGCCTCCATGGCCGCCCGCTCCTCGGGAAACCCGCCCCCAGCCCCTCCTCTAGCCCCACCCCCAGCCCTCCTTGAAGGCGGATCTCGGCTGTCTCCAGGTCCTGGCTTCCGCACTCCGCCTCAGGTTCTGGCTGGCCCAATAGGTGAGAGGCTATGGGTCTGACGTCAGGATTGGGAGCCAATGAGCGCCGGGAGCGGGGCAAGCGGCGACAGGCACGCCAGGTTCGGTGAGGGGTAGCTTTTTGAGACCATTGCGGGCTGCTTTGACTGTTTATTCTCGGAGCGCCTGATTGTGCCAGATGTCTCTACTTTCCTTCTATGCAGAGTGCCTCCCCTCCAGTCGAGCCCCTTTCTGCTCAACCCACAGAACCCCTCTATCAGATGCGACCAAGGAAGATACATTTCAATAAATGCGGGATCTCCCTCTGTCTCAGGAATATTTGGGTGCGGCTAGACAGACCCCCTCCTCTCAGTCATTCCACCACCTCAAAGATGCGGAATGCTGAGTTTAATTCAGGACGTAGCCTCCTCCCAGTATTTTTTAATTGAATTTTGTTTAACTAGAAATTAAGAAGTGGCACTTCACCGCGTCCATGCATTTGTTCCTCACATGCACCCTGGACTTGCCCTTTTTTCAACCTGAGATGTTCTTTCCTTCAGTGCTTCTCTCTTTGCAGCCTGATTCTTCTTTTTATCTTGTATGCTATGAAAAGGATCGAGTCCTTGGTTATTATGTGCAGGGGACCCTCAGAATACTATGCTCCACAGTTGCAAAGTGACTGGTGAGGGAGAAGTGAATAGGGTCTAAGGCCAAAATCAGTTTATGCAAATTGTTCCTCAACAAGCCTTTATCTTTATATGCCTTTAATTTTTCTTTTTCTTTTTTACTACAACTGCCTTTGTTCTCCCACCCTGACCCAGCCACCACTTACCAACTTAACTTTGTAATAGTTTACCACAACCGTCCTCCTCCCAATTTGCACCACGTTTTTTATTAATAATTTCATTTCCAAGAAGGGAAAGATGTGTTTATGACTCATGCTCTGGAATGGTTCTGTGTAACGTTGGAAAAAATTATTTAATCTCTTCACCTCAATTTCCTCATCAGTAAAATGGCCATAATAGTGAAGCATTACTTCATGCTGTAGTAATGCTTGCAAAGCTCTCTTAGCACAGAGCCTGGCACATAGCAAACATTAATAGATAATAGTCGTTACTGCGGCTACTACTACTACTGCACTACTATTGCACTACTACAGTATCATTCCCGATAACTGCATTTCCCAAAGGCCATGCAGCCCCTGGCAGTCCGTTAAACACCTGCTTTAGCTTTAATCTCTAGCATTCTAATGCCTAAATTTCAATATAAAATTTTTTTTTTTTAATTTAAAAAATCCAATTATCTAGCTGGGCACAGTAGCACATGCCTGTAATACCAGCACTTTGGGAGGCCCAGGCAGGAGAAACGCTTGAGCCCAGGAGTTTAAGACCAGCCTAGGCAACGGGCGAAACTCCCTTTCTACAAATAATTTAAAAATTCGCCAGCTTTGGTGGCACGTGCCTGTAGTCCCAGCTACTCAGAAGGCTGAGGTGGGAAGGATCACCTGAGCCCAGGAGGTCGAGACTACAGTGAGCCATGATTGGGACACTGCACTCCAGCCTGGGAGACAGAGCAAGACCCTGTCTCAAAAAAATAAATAAATAAATAAAATAAATCCAAAATAACCTATATTCGGATATAAACATGTTTTAATTTTTTTTTTTGTAAAAGAGTTGATTGCTTTAGATGATTTATTATGCCCTAGGATATTTTCTTCTTTTTCCTGATTCTTCAGTTTTCTTTGTTAAATTTGCCTTTCCAAATGAAACAAAACGAAAGGTATATACTTTTCCAGAAACACCTAGTTACTGAGTACTTGTTTCCCAACACAATAGCAAAACAAACAGAAAACAAAACTCGCTAAAGACTGCAAATTTAAAATTTACTTTAGTAATAACTATAAAATAATATTTAAAATCATCTTGTTAAATAGTTAAGTCCATAATTGGGATCACAAGTCAATAATTTGGATTTGGGTTTAGCGACCACCTCTTGGGAACAGGCAACTTTAAGTCCTGTCCTCTCCCCAAAGCTTGTGTGGAGTGGGAATAGGGAACCACCAAATGTCAAATGGGAGGAACGTAAGGGATAGAACCTGGTATATGAATTTCTTTTACTCAATGGAATATAGTTAATTCTGCCTGCTCTGAGTCCAACCATTTTGCTCACTCTAAAGCTTCTAATCAGCCTCTGCCCAATTACCAGCTTGATTTATTCACACTATCAACCTCCAGCCAACCACTTACTCTCCCCTTTCAAAGCCTACATAGGCTTTGTTCTGAGTTCTCCAGCTGGGGCTAACTCTGGCCTTGTCACCTGACCTGGCCCAGGAGGTAGGAGCAGACTGCAAACACAGCCCTCTGTTCCAGATCTTTCCCAACCCAGTTCCCTGGCTTTTTACCAAAGGGTGGGTTTTTTTCCCTCAAACACAATTTTAGACCTGCTGTTCTGACTTGAACTTTAATGGCTTTTTATTAATGAGCAGCTGCTCACAGTTGAATACAGATCATAAAGTCACATTCATTTCTTGATCAAGTAAAACAAAGCTTTGCCATTCATAGAGTGACAGCTTTGAGCAGATACATTTAAAGCATAGGATTTTCTGATGAGAATTTTAATGAATTGTTTTATTAATCTTCCCACTGGGGAATTTTACTTGCTTTCAAAATAATAAACTTAAATTATGACTTCTTTTTTAATATTCAAAATCACCATATAACTAGTTAGGGTCAATTGCCTAATAGAGAAATCAAACAGTCTGAAGCAGCATTTTTCTTTCTTTTCTATTAAATGAAAATTAACCTTCTATGAAGCATTTAAATAAATTTTTCCTCATAATTGTTATTACAATTAGCAGTGACTTTTATTGCTAAATATAGGAAGACTCAAGATTTAGTAACAATTTAGAGTTAACCAGGTTTCTTCAGAAGGGGCTTGGATAGAAATCGAGAAAAATAATTCATATATTTTAGTAGAAATACATTCAAATGAAAAGAGGTGAATTCTCATTTTGTGTTCAGTAGTGAGGTTCAGCAACATCATACTTCTGGCTAATGTCCACATTGTTATTAGATTTATAACAGAATTCAGCTATATTATGAATTAAGTTGAGTTGATCTGAACAGGATCTGGGAGTCTAAGACCTTTTGTTATTTCTAACAGTAAATGTATTGAAATTCATACAACCAACAAAGAACAGTAGTTTGTAACATAATCTATCTTGTACATGGATTGAGAAAGTAGAAATAAAACAACACGAAACAATGGGAGACTCATTCATTGAGCTACAGCATGACGGACGTCGTGACTTTGACCTTGAACAAGTTTAAGCCTCAGTTTTCTCATCTGCAAAATTACGTTAGTAATTCCTGCTTTACAGATTTTTTTTGCAAATTAAATATCATACCATATGTGGAAATGTGTTGGAAATACAGCAATACAGTTGGTGAAAGCTTTAAAGCAAACAGATTTATTATCTTCAAGATCAGGACAATCCCCTTTAGCTCACAACATGGAATAGTGCTTCCAGGGAATAGAGGTGAATTTTATGTCATCAGCAATCAGAAGTAGACATGTTTGCTAGCAATATATTAACAAAAGGAAACAGGGAGGGAAAGCCAGAATTCAACCCTCCATACCCCCACTTCTACCTTCTTTATTCCCTTTGTTTTAAAGGCATAGGATGAAAGAGCAGCTGTCAGAACTAGGACACCTACAACCCTTCCCTTTCTCTCCAGGCTTTTATATACCACTCATGGGATATTTATCTCATAACAAGATCTGTTGCCAAGTTTTGTCTATTCTTTCTTCTCAGTGTCCATAATTTCAGCACATCTGGATATCAAAATGATCTGCTAACTTAGTCTTTTGTATTTTACTATTTTCCTTCCTCTAAGTCACTTTGGTACTTTGCTATCTGATTAATATAAATATTGTTAAGGCACAGCCTTCTTCATAGTAACTGACCTTATTAAATTTTCCAGTGTCCGTCAATTCAGATTCACTTAGGAGGATATGTGTCTTGATTGTTGCTTTTTAAACTCTTAATTTTGAATTGTTTGTTTGGGGATCTCTAACCACCTATGGCCCTTTAAGACATGCCAGCATTCTCGTTAAAGGAGTTAGTCTGTGTATACTGTACATTTCATACAGTGAAAATTAACTTAAATCTATATTTCATGCTGTAGTTCTTATTTGAAATTAAATCCTTTAAGGATTATTTTCACTTGAAAATTGAACTCATAATCATACTAGAAATTTTTGATGTGAAGAACTTAATAAATTAATTTTTTCTTCCTAAGAATTTATAGAATTTATATATATAAAGGATCATCTGCCTAAATGCATAAATTACTGTAACGAAAAACCAAAGGAAAATACTCTTGCCATGTAGCCAGGCACAGTCATAAATATCTTGCACAAAAGGAATTAGTTTTTTTTGCTCATAGGCACAGAGCCCATTACCATAGCAACCATAATTACTCAGTCTATAACTGGGTGTGAATTTTATACACTGCTACTTCAAACATTAAGGCTGTAAGTCAGGATAAAGTGCAGTTTCTGTAATATTTTGAAAAGACTTCTTAATCTCGAAAAGCTAGGATAGGAAAAGTTTCATTATGCTACCTAATCATTGGTTTATTAGAAAGTT